CCATTAGCCAGTGTGTTGCAAGAGGGGCAATCCCCATCAGCCCTCCCCCCAAGGCTGGCTAATGGGAACTGTAGTCCAAAGCATCTAACCAGGAGTTTTGGACTACAGTTCCCATTAGCCAGTGTGTTGCAAGAGGGGCAATCCCCATCAGCCCCCCCCCCAAGGCTGGCTAATGGGAACTGTAGTCCAAAGCATCTATGCTCTACATATACCCATTATTTTATTTCATTTTTTTGTATTTATTAAATTTTCTGGTTGCAGTTCCTTCCCACTTAAAATTCAAAGTCCCTTTTTCTTTTTTTCTCTTTTTTTGTTTGCATCTTCTCCACCATGTTACAATCTTGCCAGGCAGCCCATGGTTTTATTTTGTTGTGCAAATATTGAATTTATTTTTTCCAGTTATTTTTTTAAGAAAAAAATCTAGGACTGGTTTGTTTTGCTTTGCTTAAAAGTTATAATAGAGTTTTTGATACATGGTGTCTTCCCTGTGAATGAAATTGACCCATTTGAAACTGTTTCTCCCTGTTTCTGATATAGGAATTCTTCCCCCCCCCCATCCCGGTTAAAGGTTTTCAAAAGAGGTGCTTGTCCGAAAGTGCAAAATAATAATGGCTATCTTAGTTGAGTTTATTTCTGTTCTTGAATGACACTGACCTTATTACCCACATGGGCTACTTTAGCAGAGCACCCTGAAGTGGGTGACAGATTAGAAGTGGGTGACTGATTCCTTGTGTTGGACAAACTCGGTTATTGATTGATAAAATCTGCTGCTTTCTACTTCATGTGTTAGAAAAAAATTGCAATGGAGAAACTGTGATCTTTTGCATATTGTACAACTATAGTTTTCAGCACTCCTTGCCAATGGATATACTGGGAGGGTCTGCTAGGGGCTGTAATCCAGCAACATCTGCAAGCACAGCATGTTCCTGTACATGACGAAATGTTACATGTATGTATTTTTTTTCCTTGTTAACTTCATGATTTCTCTAGTACTGCATAAGAGGACCACAGAAATCTGATAAACTCAATAAAATCTATCTGCAGACTCAACGTCTTATGACTTCATAGGCCTGTCTGTGTAATTTTCTTTGCTGCAGTATAGAAGCTATTTATCACTATTTTTTTTAATATATATTTTTTTCAAGTTCCCAGTCTATCCTATAACTTTGGATTTCCTTGTGGTCTCCTATCCAGGCATAAACCCACAGCCGTTTTTGAACTGAACATGGTCAGCCAAGTGCTGTCTCCTGCTGAGGGGGCTGGACTAGAAGACCTCCACGGTCCCTTCCATCTCTATTCTATTCTATTCTATTCTATTCTATTCTATTCTATTCTATTCTATTCTATTCTATTCCATTCCATTCCATTCTCTATTCTATTCTATTCTATTCTATTCTATTCTATTCTATTCTATTCTATTCCATTCCATTCTCTGTTCTGTTCTGTTCTGTTCCGTTCCGTTCCGTTCTATTCTATTCTATTCTATTCTATTCTATTCTATTCTATTCTATTCTATTCTATTCTATTCTATTCTATTCTATTCCATTCTCTATTCCATTCCATTCCATTCCATTGAGTTTCTGAATGAGTCCTGAACCATTCTGCATTGATTGGGAGGCATTTGATTCCATGCTGGCTGAGGGATTCTGGGAGTTGAAGTCCACCAGCCATCAAAGAGCCAAGTTTGAAGACCCCTGTGTTGTGGATAGCCCAAGCCAGTGTGTAAAAACAAAAAATTCTGCCATGTGGCGGACACCATTCAACATAAACCCTGATGAGGAATCTAGTGACTTGTTATGATTCCTACAACTCGTTTTTTCTAGGGCCACTCAAGAATACACCTTTGATAAAGGAATATACGTAGCAAGCAAACACCCATAAAACTGAGTTTGTTTTGATTCTCATTTGGAGTCTATCTCCCACTGAGTGCAATGCAATCACATCAGGGCATTTGTGTGTTGCAACAAATAAAATATCATTTTGCACAAGTGTGTCATATTCTTTTAATCAGTTAAAAGGTTTATTTTATTCTCTTTTGAAAGGGGAACGCGTCTTTTCCGCCTTCCTTTCCCAACCATGGAGCAATACTCCCATCTCGTGGCCAAAGGCAAGTACTGCAGGGCACTTCTTTTTCGTCCCTTTTTATTAGCCTTTTCATGAACACGAAAGACCAGAAGTCGGATTCACACGAGCCTCCTCGCTTTGTGACTGATTCACACGTGATTGGGAGGGTTGCACGGTGCATCGAACTGGCTACTATCCCGTGTGGAAGGCTAGGTTCCAGCAAAGGAATGTTATTATTCTTTTATTAATAGACATGTTATTATATCGTTCCCCAAAGGGCTTCCTGTTTTATGTGGCTCTGAGTTCGAATCCTGTCACGTGCTTGGCGAGAACAGCTCATTAATAAATGTTTTATGTGTGAACCTTATGAATAAGAAAACGACTTTTTCAAGTATGCCCTGGGACAGCACCCACCCCCTCAGAACCGTGACTATGGAGTGGGCTAGTGAACATACAGGCAGAAATTCAACTAGGGAAGGAATTCCCTGTTGAATGCAAGGCGAAGGGGAGGGTCTAAGCGAGTGGGCGGAGCCAGAACGACCGCGGATGCAGCTCCTCGACTTTTTTTAAAAAATATTTTTTTTTATATGTGTTACACCCCCCCACCCAATTTCGGGGTCTGGCTCCTCCCCTTTATCCTCTCCTATCTGCGCATGCCTGTTTTGATTCGGAAAGGAATCTCCCGCTGAATTCAATGTAATAATAGCAACCAGGCATTTGTGGGTTACAACAAATAGATCATTTTGCACAAGTGTGTGATATTTTTTAAATGCCTAGCTTGGGCCTAATGAGTTAAAAGTTTTATTTATTTTATTCTCCTTTTAAAGGGGAACGCGTGTTTTCGGCCTTCCTTTCCCAACCATGGAGCTATGCTGCCATCTCGTGGCCAAAGGAAAGTGGTGCACTGCCTTTATTTTTCGTTTCCTTTTCTTAGCTTTTTCATGTACCCGAAAGTCCGGAGGTCGATTCACACAAGCCTCCCTGCCTAGTGACTAATTCACACGTGTTTGGGGGGGCTTGCACGATGCACTGAACTGGCTACTATCCTGTGTGGAAGGCTAGGCTCCAGCAAAAGAATGTTATTCTTTTATTAATCGACATTTGATTATATCGTCTCCCAAGCGGGCTCCTGCTTTACGTGGCTCTGAGTTCGAATCCTGATCATGTCTTTGGCAGGATCAGCACCCAAAATGAACGTTGTATATGTTAACGTTATGAATAATAAAATGATTTTTTTGTTAATAGATATTATGTTATTTCTTCTCACCAGGTTGCCTGTTTTACGTGGCTCTAAGTTCGAATCCTGTTCATGCCCTTCGCAGGATCAGCTCATGAAATAAACGTTTATGTGTTAGCCTTATGAATAATAAAATAATTTTTTTAACGTACACCCGCGACACCCCTAAAACTTTGACTAAGGAGCGTGCTAGTGAACTTGCAGGCAGAAATTCAACTAGTGAATGAATTCCCTGTTGAATGCAACCCGAAGGGACGGGCCTAAGCGAGTGGGCGAAGCCACAAAGGCAACCGATGGAGCTCCTCGATTTTTTTTAAAAAAATATTTTTTGTTGTGTTACGCCCGCCCATTTCGGGGTCTGGCTCCTCCTCTTCCTATCTGCGCATGCTTGTTTTGATTCCCAATGGAATCTCCCACTGAATTCAATGAAATCGCATCAAGGCATTTGTGGGTTGCAACCAATAGACCAGGGGTCTCCAAACTTGGCTTTTATGACTTGTGGACTTCAACTCCCAGAATCCCTGAGCCAGCGTGCCTGGCTGAGGAATTCTGGGAGTTGAAGTCCACAAGTGCCTGGCTGAGGAATTCTGGGAGTTGAAGTCCACGTCATAAAAGGGCCAAGTTTGAAGACCCCTGCAATAGAAGATCATTTTGCACAAGTGTGTAATATTCTTTTAATCAGTTAAAACTTTTATTTTATTCTCTTTTTAAAGGCTTCGCGTGTTTTCTACCTTTCCCTTCCCAACCATGGAGCAATGCTGCCATCTCGTGGCCAAACAAAAGTGGTGCAGGCACTTCTTTTTCGTTTCCTTTTTCTTAGCTTTTTCATGAACCCGAAAGGCCAGAGGTTGGATTCACACGAGCCTCCCTTCCTTGTTGACTGATTCACACGTGTTTCGGGGGTTTGCACGCTGCATTGAACTGGCTACTAACCCATGCGGAAGGCTACGGTCCAGCAAAGGAAACTTACTATTCTTTTGTTTATATACATGTTATTATATCGTTCCCAAAGGGCCTCCTGCTTTACATGGCTCTGAGTTCGAATTCTGATCACGTCCTTGGCAAGAACAGCTCATTAATAAATGTGTTATGCGTGAACATTATCAATAATAAAACGACTTTTTAAAGTATTCCCTGGGACAGCACCCCCACACAAAACCTTGACTAGGAAGTAATCATGATTCCAGGCAGAAATTCAACTAGGAAGGATTTCCGGGTTGAATGCCAGCCGAAGGGGAGGGCCTAATCGAGTAGGCGGAGCCAGACGGAGTGTGGACGGAGTTCATTGGCCAAGCTCCATGACTTATTTTTTTAAACCATCCTTGGGTTAAACCCGCCCATTTTTGGCAGATGGCACCTCCTTTCGTCGTCTCCCATCTGCGCATGCGTCTTCCTTCTCTAATCTGCGCATGCCACTCGTTTTAAGCTGCCCAAACAAGAACCAGCTTTTTTTTTTGACGCAGGCGCTCTGGGCCACTCTTTCCGCCCCGCCCTTTCTCCGGGAAAAAAAAAAAAGAATCCCCAAACCACAAAAAGCACTTCCTCGCCTCCCCGGCCGCCCCGATTGACCATTTGCTCCAGCGCATCCCTCCCTCCCTGCGCTGACTTTTGTTTCGCGTCGCCCGCCTCCCTCTTTCCCGCGGGGGAGATTTGGCAGCGGAGCCGGGCCGGCCGGCCTCCGGGCCCCGCCCCGTGGGAAGTGGGCGGGGACACCCAGCGGAAAGGGCCGCCGCCGCCATCTTGGATCGCGGGTGTCTGTGAGGGAAGAGGAGGGGCGGCGGCGACGAAAGAGGGAAGAAGAAGGAGGAGGAGAAGCTGGAGAGGAGGAGACCCGCCGCCGCTGCCGCCCGTCGCTCCCTGCGCCCTCCGCGGCTCCCGCCCGGGAACGATACACTGCTGTGGCCGCCGCCGCCGCCGCCGCTTCCTCAGCCAAGCTGCCCAGTCACCAGCCCCTCGAGCCCAGGTAGATCCGGGCGGCCTAGGCCAGGCCTTCCGGCCGGGGCCTTCCCCGGAGTTGCCTAGCAACGGGAGGCGAGCGCCTCCCCCCTCTCGGCGGGGAAAGCCGCGCCCGCCGGCGCCTGGCCGGGCTTCCCTTCCGGGAGGCGGAAGAAGGGAGGCTGAATGGCGACTATCGGGCCCATCGTCCCCAGCCCGCGCCACCCCTAGAGGCCTCTGCACCTCCCATCCTCCCCAGCCGTGCGGGGGACCCCCTCCCGCTGCCCCTTCCTCCCTGTCCCTGAAGAGCCCCCTTCCCATCATCCCCATCCCTTGCTTCCTGCCCCAGACCCATGGGTCCTGGTGGCGGGGGAGGCGGGGCATAGCCCGGCCCGGAGGAGCTGCGGTCTTTTGGCAGAGAGGAAGCCTTTGGGGTGATGGAGAAGGATTTTTTCCTTCCTTCCTTCCCCCTTCCTCTTTCTTTCTTTCTTTCTTTCTTTCTTTCTTTCTGTATCTTTCTTTCCCTCTCTCCCTCCCTCTTTCTTTCCCTCTCTCTTTCTTTTCCTTCCTTCCCCCTTCCTTCTCCTCCTCTTCTGTTTGCCCTCCTGATTGAATTATCCAAGAGAAGCTTTTTAGAGCAGCAGTCTACCTGCCTACCTTGAATGTCCAACCTTGGCCATTTTTTAAGCCTGGTGGACTTCAACTCCCAGAGTTCAATTCCCCGTGCTGGCTGGGAAATCCTGGGAGTTGAAGTCCACAAATCTTTCAAAGTTGCCAAGGTCGGACACCCCTGCGTTAAAACTTTAGGGAATGCCATGGACTGTATTCCCTGGAACTATATTTACTTATTTCTTTCTTAAATATGTGCCCCCTATCTCACCCTTGAGCAATGGTAAAATGAAAGCTGCAGCCAGTCTGTCTTTCAGCCCAACCCACCTCACAGGGTTGTTGTCATTGAGATGGGCGCCGTAAAAATGTAATAAATAATAGAGGGAAGGAATATTAAGTGTGTTCATCATCCTGATCACTTATAAAGTGATAAAGGCAGGATAAAAATCTGACAAATAAATGAATAAACAGCATTGTATTCTCAGGAAGCCTGGAGTGGATGGATACTTTCTCTAAGGGGTGGGGTACAGCTGCTTCTGGAAAGGGCTCCCCATTTTCCTACAGTTTGTTTAGTTTTGTTTTAAGTTCTTTACCTTGGCTGTCCCAAGTCCTGAAGGTGTCAAGGACGCCACTTGTCATCTTCCTGTGGAGAAAGTTAAAAACTTGTGTCTCTGAAGCTGTCTTATTTGTCAGCTAGCCTACAACACAACTACATCATGATGTGCAGTGAATGCCACTTGTGCCTATTACATCCGAGGGGCAAATTGAGCATTTTTTAAAAAAAAGAGATTGAGGATTTTGGATAAGTCCTTCTAAGTAGGCTAAGTGCAACGAAGGCTCGAAAAAAGAAATTTTGCCTGGAATCTGGACTGAAAGTAGGATTGACGATATCTTATTGCACTGATTTCTTTTTTAAAAAAATATTGCAGTGTTAAGTGCTTTACCCATTGTAGATCTTCAGTGAGAGATGTTGTGCGCTTGGCTCTGAATAAATATAAGGTGAGCTGTGCACACCTCTTATCCTTTAATCAGCATATGTGCGTGTGTGTACAGTTATGTTTCCTTGTAAGAATGTGGTATGAATGTAATAAACTTTGCATGCTTGTTTTTTCAAATGACCCAAGCAGAGGCTCTTTCTGATAAGGAAAAAAATCCAGTTAAGAATCCTATATACTGATAAACTTGTTTTTCACTTTGCAGATTTGTCTGCTTAGACTAAGAACATTTTGCGCAAGATTCCTGACTAACTACTATCATATGTTAATGGGGATTATCATATTTAGGAGTGGTACCTTTGCTATAATTTCAGTTTTTAGTTGCTGGGTCTATTTGGCTCACTTCATTTGCTTGGGGCGATTCACACCTGCTAAGGTGTGAATCTTGTTAAATTCAGATTTTGTATGAAGGCAGAATTGTGCAGTAAAATATCGACAGGGCATTCTTTAACACCAGCCTGGGACGTGCAAACTTGGGCTAAGGGCAGTTCATATTCTCAAACATCCAGAAGGCACGGAGGAGGAGGAGAAGCGGAGTAGAGATCAATTTTGCATTCTTGGACACAAAAAGGAAAGATTAGATAAACCTCTGTAGATGTAAATGTGAGGAGATTCCCTACCGTTGTAAATGATTTTCACTTTGGAGATTCGCCCTAGTTTTGTCAATTATCGGGAAGCTTTATCAGTTTTTCAGCTGTCTGCTGTCTTTTCAGTGGCTCTTGCTAGACAAGGGAGTGGCTTTCTTCAATAAATAAAGAACATTTAAGGCTCTTTATTGTTTCCCGTGGCAAGCGCCAAGCTTTGTACACACACTGATGTATTGTCATCGTGCAGACTTTCCCAAAGGGCTGGGGCACTATTACCATAAACTAAAAATAGTGCAACCCCATAACTTTAATAAAGAGAAAAGTTCACTTCAGAGTTGCCGTGCAGGTAATCCTGTGGACCTGTGACTGCAATTGAGCCGAACACTTAATTTTGCGAAGTGAGAAATTGGTTAAGTGAGTTTTGCCCCATTTTACGACTTTTCTTGCCCGATTTGTGAAGCGAATCCCTGCCGTTGTTAAGTTAGGAACACGGTTGTTAAGTGAAATCCGGCTTCATCCGTGGATTTTGCTTGACCTAAGGTGGCAAAAGGGGGGTCACGGGACCCCTGGACACTGCAACCGTCATAAGTGTGAGTCGGTTGTCAAGCATCCAAATGTAAATCACAGGACCCTGGGAATGCTGCCACGGCCGTAAGTGTGAAAAACGGTCATAAGTCACTTTTTCGGCGATGTAATTTTAAACGGTCGCTAAATGAACCGTTATTAAGTCGAGGACTCCCTGTATGTCTGTGTAAATATGCATTGGTTTGAGTTGCACGCTGTTGAGACAGTAGTTAGATAATAGATTTGCAACAGTTCGTTTAGTGACCGTTCAGAGCTACAGCAGCGGTGAAAAAAGTGACTTACGGCCGTTTTTCACACGACCGTCTTTCATTCATACGGCACATCAGGCTGTATAGAACGGATGAATTCAAATCAGATGACGGTCACGTGCTTACTAGAAGACGCTTGCGCTTGGGAAATCGCATCTTCTGACGAGGGGAATGATCTAAACCCATCAGATTGCAGTTGAGAATTTATTTTTTATTTTATTTTATTTTTCTAGTGGGAAAGGACCCAGCAGTCATGCATTCTGGCTTCTCCTCCAAGACAGATTCTTTCTGCATTGCCCTTTCTGATGTATTTTTCTTTGCAATCTACCGAGGGTATAGATGTCACAATCTCTTTGAGCAATTTAAGCCTATTTGTTTTGGGCAATACATAAATTTAGCCTCGCGCTCTTTAAAACGAACCAACTTGCCCCTGGTTTTTCTACATACTGTAGGATTTTCTGCTGCCTGCCCAGTCCCAAGCAACATTTCACCTGCCTGCTTTAATTGGTTATAGAAACTGAACCAATAAATTCATTTCCAATGAATTTCCATTCACTGCAGTGTCTTCTTCCTTGTTTTCAATGGATTTGGTTAATATGTTAATCTTTCCTTTGATACCTGTGTAATGTCGTTCTGCTTCTCTATTTTAACTTGCTCATTAAAAAAAAACACAGACTGGCTAACATAGCTTGCATATGAAGTTTGTACCTTTAGCTCTAAACAAATGAGCCGACTTTATTTAAGACTTCGAAATAGGTAAATAGCTTGGTGAATGCTTGGGAATCTTTTTATTAAAGGCGCAGTTAGATCATTTCTCCCAGGAAAAGGGAGAAAGATAAGAGACTTAAAATAATGGGGAGTAAGCAATGTTAGCAGTGCACGTGTTAGGTGAATTGCTCAACAGATTCTTCCACTATCCTGCCAGGAAATTGAGAAAGTGCACATGGGATCTCCAAAATAGCTAGGTGTGTCCGCTGTGGGAAAGCTTCCACGATATTTTTCTGAAGGAGCAGTGATCCAGTGCTAAAGTAGGATTCTTAAAGGAATGAATATGTTACTGACGTTGCTGATTGGAGGACAAATCCAAAAAATGATGTTTACTTCAACACTAGTAATTCAGTTAGTGACTGTTCAACATTCCAACGGCCCTGAAAAAAAAGGGACGGCCATTTTTCATATTTAACAAGCATTGCAGCATGGTTTACAACCCTTTATAAAGGCCTTGGCTTCCAATTTAGTTTGCACTTTTAATATTTCCTTTGTCCGCGAGTTACGACACAATTGAGCCAAAATTTATGTTGCTAAGTGAAACATTTGATAGGACCGGATCCAAGGGCAATCACGTTAAGCTGTTTTTCTCTCTTCTTTTCTAGTGCCACAATGGCAACTGCACCTTACAACTATTCCTACATCTTTAAATACATCATTATTGGTAAGTCTAAGCATCGTTTAGAAAACGCCTCGTTATTTCTGCCAACACACTTTTAAGTGCAGCTGGTTTGGGATAATAGAAGTTGTGGGAAGACGATGCTGGAAAGGCCCAGCCTACAAATAACCAGTCAAATGAAAAAAAAAAAAAGGATGTATTTTTCAGCATCTGTCGAATCGTCCCTTGCACACCAGGCTTGTTGAAAAGGTGGCATGCAAAGTCACAAGTCACTGAATTTTTTTAGTTCAGTGGTCTGAGGGTTTTTGCCCCCGTTCCTCAAAAGCAGGGACTCAATTATTTTTAATGCTTAAGATTGCTGCGCTCTTTATCCGCAGAAGCTTGATCTTGTGTTGCACAAGTAATCTCTCAAGCCTGCAGATGTGTTTTTTTTCCCCAGTCTGGCAGAGTTTTGGATTTCAAAGCCAGGAAGTGAGATAGAATGATTTACCCTTAAGACACTTCTTTCAGTTGCTACTGTGGTGCTGACATTTGATCCTGGTTTTGTGTCTGGTGTTGGGCAAAGCCTGTAACGCTGGCTACTACTACACTAGATAGTAACATGATATATGCCTTGGAGAACTGGTAGAATATTCTCTTAGTGGTAAGCAGCATTCATTCCTGGAATGTGATCTTAGACTCGGTGGATAATCCAGCTTCGAAAGCATTCATTTATCGACTACCTGAAGCTACAAGTGATTGAGATCCCTGTGGTCATGTGATCAAAATTTGGGTGTTTGGCAATTGGCACGGGTTTACAATGATTGCAGCCACCTGGGTTGCCATTTGGGACCTTTCAACAAGCAAGCAGAAATTCTGGCCCCCAATATCAGCATAAGCTGAGGACTATTTTTATAGGCCCTGTGTTTTGAGATCTTTCTTAGCCTAAACATGGGATCAGTTTGGTTTTAGTGTGTTTACAGACCATGTCTGCTTGCTTGTTGAAAGGTCCCAAATGGCAACCCAGGTGGCTGCAATCATTGTAAACCCATGCCAATTGCCAAACACCCAAATTTTGATCACATGACCACAGGGATCTCAATCACTTGTAGCTTCAGGTAGTCGATAAATGAATGCTTTCGAAGCTGGATTATCCACCGAGTCTAAGATCACATTCCAGGAATGAATGCTGCTTAAACATAGGTTATCTTTCAGAGTTGGAAATACAGCTAGAGTTACTCATCTTACTCATCCGTGGCCTTCAGAAGAAATTGAAGAAGTAGGAGCTTTCATCTCCGTACTTCCAGTTACAAATTCTGTAATAGGAATACCAGAAAAAAAAATTCCAGAGCAGTTCTCAGTAGCATTATACACTAGGTTTTTTTTCTTTCATTTCCCTTAAAAAAAAAAAAAAGCTTGGCACTTTTATTAAGAAAGAATGCTGATTGTGGATTATGACACCTTCTATGTGGGCAAAATGGCTCCATATTATTCCACAATTCATTTCTGCAATAGATACTAAGTCAAGGCAGCAGTGGTAACAATTCACTTCTAAATATTCCTCTTTTTTCTCTTTTTTTTTTTATCTTAAGGTGATATGGGTGTAGGAAAATCGTGCTTGCTCCATCAGTTTACAGAAAAGAAGTGTAAGTGTGTACCTTTCTTTGTAGTTGAAGTAGTAAACACAACGTGACTTTATCCTCTCCGTTTTCCCAACGTGTTAATTCTAGGCTTCTGTTATGTTATTAAAAGTGCCTTTTACAGAATGGGAATGATTCCGGATTTCACTGAAGCAAAATGCCTCCCTTTATATAATATGTGATCATTATTGGTTTAATGCTGTGTATTTTTATCCAGAGATAGATTTAACAGCCAAAGGTTTATACATTTGCTGATGACTAGAGCTGGGGAAGTCTTGGCAGAAAACCCATGTCTGTTTCTCACTCTTATAAGAAATATGCAGTAGAACAAGTCAGAAATTAATTTTGTGCTCTGTAATGACCCCCCCCCCACACACACACATAACTGCTGATTTTGGGGCTGCCTTTTGGCTGAGAAGGTGGGTTAAGTAGGTCTTCAGATACGTGGGAATCCCTGTGAATGGAAGCCTGGCGTTAGGTGGATCGTGCTTTCTCACTGTTATTTCCTTTTGCCTCACAGTTATGGCAGATTGTCCCCATACAATTGGAGTCGAGTTTGGTACCAGGATAATTGAAGTTAGCGGCCAAAAAATTAAGCTGCAGATCTGGGACACGGCGGGACAAGAGAGGTTTAGAGCGGTCACACGGAGCTACTACAGAGGAGCAGCAGGAGCCCTTATGGTTTATGATATCACTAGGTAAGGAGTCTTTCTGTGCTGGCGGTTTAAACTTTGCCGTGATTTAAGCTGATGCTCTTTTAGCTGACACTAAACTCTGGAACAAAGCAAGAGTTTGCCTATTTCATTAAACCCCTTCTTCTAGCCAGATATTAATTTTCCAGCCTTCTCAAATCGTATGTTTAAAAAGCTCCATGCAGGCACGCCAATTTGATGGACATGGTGGAAGAACACAAATACCAAATCTTTCTTATCTCAGATCAAATGGGATGAGGCTGGACTTTCTCTTGCTGTGATCCTCTTAGAGACAGGACAAACTAGCTGATGTTCTACAAACATGACACCCTTGTTTCTTTTTTCTTTCTCTTGCAGAAGAAGTACATATAACCATTTAAGCAGCTGGCTGACAGACGCAAGGAATCTAACTAACCCCAATACTGTGAGTGTCAACAATTTAGAAACCTTTGTGTTAAAGGTAAACAGCATCTGCTCATCTCCAGGTTGAGATGTCAGGAAATAGTGCCAGGTTGCTTCTCTCCTTGATTAGTTTCTATCCATTGCTTCTCGTCCTGCCCTCAGATGCTTTGGAGAATGGCTTGACTCCCTCTTCTTTGGGGCAGTCCCTCAGATATTGAAAGACTGCTATCATGTCCCCCCTCGTCCTTCTTTTCGTTAAACTGGACATACCCAATTCCTGCAGCCGTCCTTCATAAGTTTTAGCCTTCAGCCCCTCGAACGGAATATATCCTCCGTTCTCCTAGTCAGCACCTCCTTCTTCCTCTCTGTCTCTAGAAGTCACCAGGTGAACAGAGTCCATTACAATTTGCTTAAGGGAGACAGTTTTGAAACCGAACGCTTTTCTCAGCTCTGTATTCCAAGGGGAGGGGGGGTTCTTTCCCTTTTGTGCAGCATGCTAGCTTCCCTTCCTGACGATGTGGTTAACTGCAGCAGTCATTCCAAGCTAGCTAGCTCTCTGACTTCCTCTTCTAGCATGTCTTGTGTTAATTTCATAATGAGCAGTTCCTTAAAACTGCTTCCTTACCATAATCAGAAACCAAATCGTCCGTTAATTAAAGCATTTGCATCCTGGCTCGCCCTTCTGGGGATGCCCGGTTCCATTTTTTTTCCCCCTTTAATGCTTAGAGAGGAAGGGTGTGTTTTCTTAGCTGTAATGAGGCTCGCTCTGCAAAAGGATCCCAACAGGATCCTTTGGGGCAAAAACGCGTACCCTTGACAACTGGCTCTTGTCCGCTGCTGGATTTCTTCTAAATGCCCTGTTCTGTCTCTTGTTCTGGATGCAGGTGATCATCCTTATAGGAAATAAAGCAGACCTGGAAGCCCAGAGAGACGTGACATACGAGGAAGCCAAACAGTTTGCTGAAGAGAACGGTACGCATGGGTGCACCATAGTAGCCAAAGCAGAACCGAGGGTGGCTAAGCACTTGGCAGAAAAGATCGCGCAGAAGCCATTTAGTGTAGTGCCGATTTAGGCCCTCTGTGTGGTGATGTGGTTACGCGTGGATCAGGCTACTCAAACTGCATCCGTGGCCTTGTCACTTTGGAGACGCCAACTTGCTGGTTGGCAAGATCCGAAAGAGGAATTATTTTGATTTCCGACCTAAGTTGACCTTGCTTTTTGTTCCCCAACAGGCTTGCTGTTTCTTGAAGCGAGCGCAAAAACGTAAGTTGGTTGCTGTTATGTTAAAAACAAACAAACATTTGTTGCATGGATGAATTCATCATTTGCCTGCCAAAGCAAGCGGTGACAGTGTAATTCCTTAATTGTAGTGGGGGGGGGGGGAAATCCCGAAAGAAACAGGAACTCTGAGATTCTTTCCCCATGAATTTTTCTCTGCAAACAAAAAAGAATGACTGGGTGGTGAGAATGTCTTGTTTGCAGCACAAGAGTCATCTTGGTTTATGCTAATGCCGATGGTTAAATTGCTCTAGTAATGCTAGCTATTGCTTCAAAACATGGACAGTGCAGTGCGCAAGCAGGAGGGATGTATTTTGTGGGGTCCTCGATGCTCTCCGCTACTGGTTATTTTCCTGCAGATGTTTCATGACCCAACTAGGGAACATCATCAGTGTGGATCACGCACATCGGCACTGCTGACGTGACCTAGTTAGGTCATGAAGCATCTGCAAGAAAAAAACAAGCACACCGCGGACCCCTCGCTCCAACCCCAAGCTATAAATACACCTGCATCTGTCACAAGTGTCCCAAATTAATGCCGTTGCTTTGGCTTGTCCTTTTCCCCAGAGGTGAGAACGTGGAAGACGCGTTCCTAGAGGCCGCCAAGAAAATCTACCAGAATATCCAAGACGGGAGCCTGGATCTGAACGCGGCAGAGTCAGGGGTACAGCACAAGCCTTCAGCTCCACAGGGCGGCCGGCTAACCAACGAACCCCAGCCCCAAAGAGAAGGCTGTGGCTGCTAGTGACCTCGGTTCCTTGGCTCTGTGACCTTTCACCTCTGTTAAAGAGCAGTGCTTTTTGGGGCTGCTTCCGTTTTTCCTCTGCACATCTTACCAGGTTTAATTAAAACTCCTGAGGCAAGAGTTTAACACAGTACTAAACTGCTAAAGAATAAAATAAGAGAAAACTTAGATGTAATCAGGTTATCAAAGGCAAGTAGAGTCATTCCCTCTCCCTGCATGGTAAAATCTAGACGTCTTTATTCCCCCTTTCTCCTCTCCCCTCCAAATAATTAATTGTCCTTGTGAATAGATGTCACCGATTCATGATTTACAGAACAGAGCTCTGATGCTGGACCCCCCCCCCTCCCATGACTTTCACTCTTTCTCCGCAGAGCTTTGTCTCTTGTAAAGTTTAACTTTGTTAGCTTCAGCTTTTTCTCCCCAGTCTGTAACTGGTCTGTCCTTTTTAGTAACAAAAAAAAAGAAAGGAAAAAAAAAAAAAGATTTGCTATAAAAACTTTCCAAGGGTAGAATGGGGTCCTGCGTAGATTGCTTTCATTGGGAAAGTCGTGGTGGTGGTGGTGGCTGGGGCTTTTGGGGGAGGGGGGGGAAAGAAAGACACTTATTGCTGTGGTGTACGCCCCCTCCCTCTCGGCCTGGGACATGGCGTGGCTTTTATCTTGTACCCGGTATCTTTATGCTGCTGCTCCCTATTTTTACCCACACGGGCCCTTATTAACCAAGCGTAAATATGTATAAATTTTGACGGAACCAAGCTAGACACTCAAATACATCCCGTGTATATGATTTTAATGAAGAGGGAAAAAAAAAACCTTAATGACCGGCATTAGAAACTTAAAAGTGAAATATCTGTACAGCTCCACTAAAGATGGCCAGGTCGCCCCGCTTAGTGACTGCAGTCATTGGCCACCCTGGTTCAACTCCATATGATGTTTGGCGGTTGTCCAGAGGACCTTGATGCAGCTCCCAGGGCATTGCTAGCCCAGTGTAGGACCTCTGTGCCTGGTGAGCAGCCTACTATTATTTTTTTTTTGTTGCTGTTACTCCAGGTCTTGTGCACTTGAGGATGTGCTAACTCGCTTTCCCTCTTCCCCCTCCCCCCCCCAAAAGTTCTGCATTTATTCCAGCTGTATTGCACATCTATATGCTTCTGGGAAAAGTCTGCTCTAAACTGGACGGTCGCAAAAAGCATTACTCTAGAGGGACTTTGGATTCTACTCTGGCATTTGACACTACAGTTCCCCTGGCTTGGCTGCCGATGCTCTCCCCATGTTCCTCTCTGCCATGATTGCAAGCCTCTGTCCCTGGAAGAGGGCTTAAGGGGAGGGGTGGCCTGCAGGATGGAGCCACCCACAGACCCCTCTCCACCCTTAATTGTTCTCTCAGTGGCAATCTGGTCGAGAGGCGGTTAAGGCCGGCTAGGGAAAGGATGAGCACGTTTGGTTCCGTTGCCCGCAGTGTCTCAGCGACCCCCTCGATTGACACTAAAACCAGGCCACGTTCCAGTGTGCAAAAGTGAAAGGGGATAACCAGCATAACGTACAGTCAACATGTGAACCAAAAGCCAAAACTGGGAAGTGCAAACGATTTGCATTTGGGTAGCTTGTGTGCTCTCCCCTCGCTTACGTTGCCCTTTACGTTTGGCTCTCGTTTTTCCTCCTTCTTGAAATCTCAGATTCTTAAAAGTAGATGGGTATTACAGAATTCTGCTCTTTGAATTGCACCGTGGGTGGGGGGGGGGTTGAGGGTGGGGTGAGGGTTGCCCAGGGACCACGATCTGTTGACACAACTTACGTTTTGGGCAAAGGCAATTTGCTTCCTGCAGCTTGTTGGCGGTGCAATAATCCCTTTTCTTACCTCCTCTTCCCCCCCCAATTCAAGTTACAGTAGGTCTTCATTTCTGTGACAGGATTTATTTGGGCTGCTGTACTCATTTAATGTAACAATGCTATTCTCTAAATATTTGTAAATAAAGTACCTGTATCTAGAGACCAACGAGAGTAGTCGTTCTTTGAAGAGGCAGAACAAAAGGGTTACGAATTGTGGGACGACTGAGATGAATGCCCCCCCCCTTTTTTTTTTAAAGGCGAGGGGGGGGGGGGAAATTCCTCGAGACCTTTAATAAAGGTTGGGCTTGAATTGTCCCAAAGGAGCTTTTTCAAGAGGCAACTGTACTTTCTTTGTTTTTGCCTGAAGACGTTTTGCTTCTCATCCAAGAAGCTTCTTCAGTTCTGACTGAAGAAGTTTCTTGGATAAGGAGCGAAACGTCTTCAAGAAAAAAACAAAGGAAGTCCAGCTGCCTCTTGAAAAAAGCACCTTTGGGACAACCACGGTTGAGAATATCCATAGACTTGAATTCTTCTATGGCGTGCCATAAAGATTGAGGAAATCTACAGGGGCTTATAATAAAAAAAGGTGGAAGGGACCTTGGAGGTCATCTAGTCCAACCCCCTGGTTTCCCTATGTTCAGAATTATTGCTGTCTGAATAAAGGAGAAGAGAAGAGATGTTGAGCCATTTAAAATGTCGCTGTCATCCTCTACTGGCTATCGAGCAGGAGCAGTCAAAAAGCTTGAACTGTTTTGTACAAAAAAATTTATTCACAAAATAGTTTATCCCGTAAAAAGCCGCTTTGCTAAATGGTGGTTAAAAAGAAATGTAAAAAGCGAAAGACACACCTCTTCCTAGAATCGCCTCCACTCCAAAGGAATACAAAACACCCTGATGTTGCTTTCACTACGGCAGAATTCTGCTGTAGAGATGCGGAAACTGAGGACCAGGTGAGGTGACTCAAAAGACCTTTAAACTTGTAAAATAAATGAGGTAGTCTTCATAATCTTCACATCCAATTGGCACGGGCTTCGCAAACCCATTTTTGCACAGTCTTTGTCTCTTAACAACCAAAAAAAAAAAAAAGCGATTTTAAGTCCCAAGCAGCAAGTTATAGGCACCTCTTCCCTCCCCTTCACAATTCCTCGTGACAACTTGTGTCATTTTATTCATAATCTATTTGTTCTAAGGGAGCAGCATTTTGGCTTGGAACAGACAACCAGGCTCTGAATATAGAGGGGATCACGTGACCCCAGGACGCTGCAACCGTCATAAATGCGAATCAGTTGCCAAGCATCCGAATTTTGATCACGTGGCCCTGGGGATGCTGCAACGGTTGTAAGCGTGAAAAACGATCACAAGCCACTTTAGTGCTGTTGTAATTTTGAACAGTCACTAAATGGACTGTTGTAAGTTGAGGACTACCTATAATCTGGAGCAGTTTTGTAGCTGGTGGCTGCAATAACTATCCAGGGCCACAATGGATTTTTAAGATCTTTTCTTGACCACAATAAAAAAAAACTTTGTCATGCTACGAAGAAGGAATATACGTAAACTGTGACTTAAGTCTTCTAATTGGTCATGTTTAAAACTATTCATAACCTGGTTGGTCTCCCGCCTCTCACCTTTGTTGAAACTATGTCTTGTACTGATAAATCACTTTAGACTGGGCTGAAGCATCTGCAGTGGTCCAGGGAGAAGGGGATCTGGTGGACTAGAGAGAAAAAACCCAAAACCTTAACTAAACAGTGCTGTCGGTACGATTTTTGATTTTATAAAAGTCCTACAGAGGCTGAAGTGCTCTTTAAGAAGAAAACACTTTAAACTGATTTCTAATAGTTTCATGTACACATTCAAGGCAGGTTAATTCAATTTTCCAAAGTGAACATATTCACTGCATGGAGCCTCCAGCCACTCCAATAAAGAAGGCTTTAAATCTTTCCCCAAGTTGGTACCTTGCAAATATTCCAGGGCGTAAAACAAGGCTGCCTGCTGACCTGTTAAAAATAATTCTCAAAGTGCTGTTCTGTTTAATGCTGCTCTATTAAAGCTGTTTCAGAGTGAAGACAGTATAGGGATGCTTTAGAAAAGGCCACGGGGGCATTCATGAGAAAGGACACTTAGTTTGGATCCAGGCTTAACAGGGTAAAACAATCCATGTGTGTTGCTGTAAAGATTGATCTGTGCAAACGCTAGTTAAGAAAACCAGGTTGTCGGGCAAACGTACCTGATTCTTTGCCGTCAGGCTTGGCTCTTGGCGCAGAAAATCTGTGAATCCCGATGAATTTAAGGATGGAAACAAGGAATCGGTAGAGCTGCTGCTGACCAGCTCGTCCAGGGCATCGACTTGTCTCTTCAGACTGTGAAGGGTGCCCTCGGTCTCTTGCTTCCCTTTAATTAAGGCCTCCACTTGCTTTGACATGCACTGCCGGAGTTGAGCCTGGATGGAGAGGTTCCACGTTAAATCAGCGAGGAAGATCTGGGCTGCTTAGGACAGAGGACCACCAGAGCAGGGTCTCTGCCCCTCGCTCTGGATTAATCCAGAAGTGACCTTCTAAATTTAAAGCAAGGGTTTTATTCTCCAAGGCCTCGACTTAGCAACCACAATGGAGCCCCACATTTCTAAGCGAGACATTTGTCAAGTGAGCTTTGTCCCATTTTATGGCCTGTCTCGCCACAGCTGTTAAGCGAATCATCGGAGTTGGTAAGTTAGTAACCCCGTTGTTAAGTGAATCTGGCTTCCCCATTGACTGGGCCGATCAGAAGGTCGCAAAAGGGTACAGTGCAACCGTCATAAATATGAGCCAGCTGCCACGGATCTGAAATTTGAACACGTTACCAGGGGAAGCTGCAAGTGTAAAAAAAAAACAAAAACGGTCGTATGTCACTTTCTTCCAGTGCCCTCACTTGGAACGGTCACTGAATGAACCGTTCCAAGTTGAGGACGGCCTGGTTCTATTCCCCATCCCAAGCAAAAGTCTGGTAGCCGTACATACGAATCGTCACTACCTTGAGACGATCCTCGTGGTGTTGCAGTTGTTCCCGGCGTACCTTTCCACGCCACTGTTCATCCTTGGGAGAAAAAAAGGATTGATGAAGAGAAGAATTGAGAGGAAAAAGAAGGCGCCTTGTGACATCCCTTCACACTCATTCAGGGTGGAATGTGGGGTAAAACTAGGTTTTAACTATCATTTGTAGCAAACCCAGTGATACAATAGCTATCATGCAGGTACTTTAAATGTGGACTCCCGCTTACAAGGCAGAGATTTAAACCCAAACTCCTAGATCTCATTTTTAGATTAGAAATGAAAGCTGGACTGTGAGTAGCAAAAAAAAAAAAAAAAATGACAATGGGAGAATGATGGAAAAGGCAAGGATTTGGGCAAGCTGCCCGTGGGAACAATCTGCTTGGATGTGTGAATTTTTCACCTAGGTGCAACTTTCTTGTGTGGAAGATGCAGAAGTTCCTTCTTCAAGTGGACGTTCATGCTAGCTACAGTATCGTGTGTGCGGCCCGTTGTTCGGATCCTGGGTACAGCTCTGCTTCTTAACGTACTTACTGTGATGTGGACTTTAGAGAGGTCCAGCTTTTCATCCCAGTACGGCATCTTGGCCTTGTTTTCAGTGAATGGGTAGTTTTCCTTCAGGCTTTCCAAGTCGCTCCAAAGTCTCGCCTTCGCTTCCAGGTTAGCGTCTCTGTCCTCCAATAACTCTGGAGGAGACTGGCTCAGATCCTTCAAGCCGGTCCTCATTTTGTCCTTCACTTCCAGTCTGACCAGCTTAACGGTGCCCTTCAGCTCTTTCTGCTGTTTCTCCAGCTCCTCCTGGTTCTTCATCTGAGACACAAGACGCAACGGTCATTCAACACTGATGTTGAAGCATCGAGTGGCCTTACATCTCTCTGATTCTGGGGGGAAGGGGGGGCTCAGCACCCAAGGGCCAGAAAGCTCCATGGACGAGTTGATCTAATCAAGTGGTTCTCAACCTGTGGGTCGGGACCCCATTTGGGGTCGAACGACCATTTCACGGGGGTCGCCAAACAAGGCTGTCCGCCATTTTTTCCCCCCTTTTCTTTGGCCACACCCCTGGCACCCGGTGATGTATAAGTGGTTGGGGGTCACCACAACATGGGGAATTGTATTATGGGGTCGCGGCATTAGAAAGGTTGAGAACCACTGATCTAATCGATGCAACTAATTAAAAGTGAACAGCTGAAGCAGCTATTTAATGATTTGGGTTTAATGAGGCTTCCTTTCACATTTTACCATCCTTTTACATTGTCATTACAGGTAGTCTTCAACTTACAACCACAGCTGAGCTCTAAATTTTTGTTGCTAAGGGAAACATTTATCATACGGTATGGAGAGTCTCAGTCCTCCATGGTTGTCCCAAAGGTGCTTTTTCTTTCAGGAGGCAACTGGACTTCCTTGTTTTTCTTTGAAGGCGTTTCGCTTCTCATCTGGGGAGCTTCTTCCGTTCTGGCTGGATGGTGGAGGATGGAAGTCGATCAGAGCTGAAGAAGCTTCTTGGAGGAGAAGCGAAACGTCTTCAAAGAAAAACAAGGACGTCCAGTTGCCTCCTGAAAAAAAAAAAGCACCTTTGGGACATTGGTCAAGTAAGTTTTGCCTCCTTTTACAACCGTTCCTGCCACAGTTGTTAAGCAAATCACTGCAGTTGTTAAATGAGCAACGTGGTTGTTACATGAATGTGGTTCCCCAATTGAATTTGCTTGTCGGAAGGTTGAATTTGTCTCTTTTGCAATTAAAATCTTTGTGTTTCACAAAGGCCATCACATCCCAGGACACTGCAGCTGTCATAAATAGGAGTCAGTTGCCAAGGGTCATGATCATGTCATTGTGGGCGTGCTGCAACTTTTGTTAAGTGTGAAAAACGGTCATAAGTCACTTTTTTCAGTTGTAACATCGAACAGTCACTAAATGAGCGGTTGTTAAGTTGAGGACTACTTGTATTAATTTGCACACTGGCAGGACAATCCCCCAGAGCCCTGATAATCCTTTTCTCTGCTTTATTCCAACATCTCAGAGGTTGTGAATCCTGTACCTAGGAGTAGTCATTCCTACGTTAATTCTAGATTGTAGGAAGAAGTTCATTCTCCTGACCAGCAGGTCAAGAGTGGACACTTATCTTTCTGGGCAACAGGGAGGCTATTTGGAGGCTCCAGAGCGTTACCTGTGACTTGAGTTGTGCGTGCTCTTCTTGGATCCGGCCAAGGTCCCTCATCAACCGCTTGGCCCGCTGGTGATTCTCTCGGGCCACTTGTTCCAGTGAGGTTATTTCTCGCTGCAAGCCGTAGTTTTCTTGCTTCTGTTCCTAAATGAGAGCGGCGAGTTGAAGAAGAATATATATATTTTTTCTTTTCATCTGAATAAATACATTCCACGGAAGGGCCGGGCGAACGCTCCATTGTGACCTTCAATGATTTAAAGCTACACACAAACACATCAGCCCCAGAGGGCCATACCGGATTGGATTGGAGTTGGTCCAGAACATCTGGAGGATACTGGCCCTACTTAGGTCATCCCACGTGGATAGGATCCAACGGCTCCGTGTTGTGAGTTATGAGAGAAAACTGGATTGTAAATCCAGAAATGACCAACGGAGGTCCTATGAATTCATTAGGTGGTCTTGAACGAACCACCTTTTCACAGAACCTTACACAGTTGGAATAAGGCTATTTAAGGTATATTCTACAACCACTTCCAAGCATTCATAGAGTTTGGGAGAACTGGGGCCGAGTCAGCCGCTCCTCACGTTCAAGAAACCATCTCGTTTCTTGTTGTGGCCCCTCTCTCCCACAACCCAAAATGGGAAAGCAACTGGAGGTTGGGGGGAGACAGCTACGTACTTGGAGGGCTCTTTCAAGCTGGTCCCTTTGAGCCTTGATGGTGTCCTTCAAGGTTGCAATTTGCTTCTCTGCTTTGAGATGGTCTGCTTGGAGCCGATCTTGGAGCAGCCTCTCCTCGGCTCTGGAGAGGTGGAGTTCTCTCTGAAGGCAGGAAATCTCCCCCATCTTTTCCTGAAGCTTCTGTTCTTTTTCGGAGAGCTGATGCCCTAGAAACAGAGGAGCCGGTCTTGGTTACCAAGCCAACCTTACCAAGAGCCTCAGGTTTGCTTTTCATCTGCTAAAGGGCATTCTAGGAGAATTTACGATGATTGTTGGCTAAGCAAGGACAAAAACAGCCAGAGAAATGATGGACGCCTGGGAAACGGGGCCCTTGTTAGTCAACAGGAGTGCTGATTTACCACCAGCCTATCAGGTACCTGGGAGCTGAGGGCATGGCAGCACAAGGAAACAACAATTCATGACTTAATAGTCAGTCATCTGCACCATAATTAAAACAAATAAAAGCTACACACAACCAGCAACCATAAAAATACAACGCACAGAACATCCCGGTGCACATATTCTGGGGAGAGTGAAGTTCTCTGAGGATGGGCTCCAGCACAAGCCAAAAGCTTGGAAGAGTAAACCTTTGGTCCCGGTGACCTACTCAGATTGGATCCTGCAGAATTGATAATATCTAAATGCTATTCTCATTGCAGCGAGCTCAGGGTATCTAAAAGGATGTTACAAAAAAATGCTTTTAATGGCTAAAACTCCATCTGAACTGAACAACTACTAAGCTTGGAACTTGAATCTTGATCTCCCTCATCCTTAGCTGTAATATCACGCTGACTTTCTTACTCGATGGAGACATATTTCTCATGAACACACATCAGTGTTCCCAGCCTTAAATACCACTCACTGGCTTTGTGGAGTTTTTCTTCAAGAGCTGAAATGTGGGACCCCTCCTTCTGGAGCTTCCGGATCCGTTCTTCCATCTCTTGGACCTTGGCCACAGCTTGCGCCAGGTGACCCTGCTGCTCTACCAGCTCTTGTTCCAGCTGCTGATTCTGGGTCCTCAGTTTGTCTGCGCATTCTGCCAACTTTCTTTCTTCGTGCAGGATGTCTTCCCCGAGACGTTGAAGGACCTGGATGAAAGCAACCCATTGAGAGTTAAGCTAGGCTGGGAGAAGAGGTCACTGGGATGGGTGAAGGATCTGGTTTCTCTCTCGATGGCATAAAACTACTGGCCCAAAATCTCCTCCTACTGCAAGGTATTTGGCACAATACGAATCGTACATTTTTTTTTAAAAAAAAAATTTGGCCTGTTTTCTTTTAAAATGCCTCTTGATTAACAACATTAATAACTCATTTGCTCTAGTGCACGGGTAGGCAACCTTGGCTCTTTTATGACTCATGGACTTCAACTCTCAGAATTCCTGAGTCCACAAATCACAAAATCCCTGGTCTAGTGATTAAAGCATCTAGGATAGAAAGCAGGAGACGGTGAGTTCCAATCCTGCCTTAGCCACGAAAGCCGCTGGGTGACCGTGGGCCGGTCCTTCTCTGTCAGCCCAACTCAGGGTTGTTGTTGTGGGGAAAACAGGAGGAGGAAGGCATGTAGAATATGTTCACTGCCTTGAGTTATTTGCAAATAATAAAGGCGGGGTACGAATTAAATAAATAACGAACCAAACTCTTGTAGAATTCTAAACAACTGGGCTTACAGAGAATTTGTGGTAAGGAGAAGCTACTGAATCACCGATCCAAGAACAATTATGGCTTCTTTTTACCTCCAGAATGAACCTTTCTGTTTTCTCCCCCCCCCCCAACTCTTTCGTCTTCAAAGAGAAAGAATTCAGCCAGCAGATCAGTCAAAACACAAATGGAAAAAAGACGAATGTACCGTCTCTTGTTTGGCCTGTTTCAGCTCCTGTTCCTGAAGCTCCTTGAGGACTTGGTGTAGCTGGTTTTCCTTTTCCCTCTGGGCTTCTTGGATCTCCTTACACTTCCTGGAAGACTCGTGGAGGGTGTCTTTGAGGACTTCCTGTTCTTGGAGAAGCTCCTGCTTTTCTTTGGCGGCCTCTTTCACGTCCTGCCACCCCACAGCGAAGAATTGAAAGAGAAAGATTTAAGAAGAAGGCTACTGAGCGATTAATTAGTACTGTTTATGATAATGAACTACATCTATTATTCTTAGTTAAATACACGTACCCAGATAATGTGCTGTTTGCTAAATATTGAAAATGTTACCTTGGAAAACCCTAACCCAAACCCCAATCCTAATCCCGACCCCATTTTATCCCTAACCCTATTAAAACTAATAAAATTTATATGAAAAAAAAGAAAGAGAAGGATTTAAGATGCTCATTAATGCTGCTGATCAATCCTTTTGGTGGAGTTATTTCAGAAGCCTATAAAGTAGGCCTTTGCTACAGATAAATCCGGATGCAGCTCTCAGGACCAAAAAATTGCAAATAGGCTTTCTTTTCTCCCTTTGGGTTTTCGGTAGAAAACCATGCCTTCATTTAGCAGTCTGATTTTGACTGAGGTATTTATATCTTTGCCCTGATCTTTGCATCCTTGGGGAAAATACCTGGCTGCAATATATATCCCCATCCTTAACACGGAACAGTCGATCTAAACAAAGCTTACTTGCTCCAACAGCTGAAGATAACGCCTGGCGTCGTTCAGTTCCATCTTCAAAACGTCCAATTCCTCCTTTTTTCCTAAAGGAGAAAATAATGGCGATATTTTGAGGAAGAGGTCAATCGAAAGAAAAACAGGAGAAAATTTGATAAAACTTCTGAATGGTGTTTTATCCCACACAAGACATTCATCTATATGCAAAACGACCGTGATAGAGAGATTTGGAAAAGTTTCCCGTACCGTGCAAATGCTTCTGCAGCTCAGCAATATCTTTATTCAGAGCTATTTTCTGGTTGTGAAGCTCGTCGATTTCAAACTGCAGTTTTTGGAAATCCAGTACAGACTTCTCCGTGCTGGCAAGGATATTTTTATTGTTACCTTCTGTGGAGGCTAAGGTTCTGCCAAAAGAGAAAGCCACACGTTCAACTTCACAAATGTCCATGGAGACTCTCAATCATCCAGGTTACGATTGTCCCAAAGATGCTTTTTCAAAAAGGCAACTGGACTTGCTTTGAAGACGTTTCGCTTCTCATTCCAGAAGCTTCTTCACTTCTGAAGCGAAACGTCTTCAAGGAAAAACGAAGTCCAGTTGTCTTTGGGATTCGCTTTCCGAAATTAAAGCAGAGAGGTAGGTGCAACTTGGTGGACTGCTAAGAACTGAATATGAAACCAGTCTGTTTCATTTCGCAGACGGCTGAAGTTATTAGCAGGTGATATATGATTCATCAGGGATGGTGTGCAACAGGGGACTTCAAACTTGCCCCTTTTATGACTTGTGGACTTCAACTCCCAGAATTCCTCAGCTAGTATGCCTGGCTGAGGAATTCTGGAAGTCCACAAGTCATAAAAGGGCCAAGTTCGAAGACCCCTGGTGTAGAAGAGTGGATATTAATTATTTTTATTGTTTTAACAGGCTACTCTCCTCTACTAATCAAGATTTCTAAAATGCCTTCCCCCCCCTTAGGTTGATAGTATTAGGAAATACTAATTTACTAATACTAAATCTTCCCAAGTCTACCCCTACGGTATCCTTGGGCTCAAAGAAGGGATCTACTAATTGTCCATTTCACATGAAAGGAAAATCGGCGGTTCCATTAGTTTCTCTCATGCCGTGGGAAAAATAGAAAGACGACACATTCAAATAAGACTGTGTAAGTTCCTATAAAACGATCTCTTCCACACGTTTTGGATTATTATTATTTATTTGCTAAGATCAGCCATTTAAGAAGACGCCTCTCTCCAAACCTCCATCCTCACCTTTTGCTCTGGGTGAATTTGTCCTCCAGGCTTTCACACCTGGCCTCCAGCTGTCGCTTCTCATCACTCAGGGCCTTGACGTGGTTCTGCAGAAGATGGAGCTGAGAGGTCAGCCGCTCGGCTTCCCGCTGAGCCTCCTGGAGAAGCTGCCTCTGATGCTCCACCTCCCCTCGCTGGCGCTGGGATGCTTGCTGGAGATTCTCCAGTTCCAGCTTCTCCTGGGGTTTAAAAACACCCGCATAAAGACGGCTGCCCAAAGTTTAACTTCCCCATCACTGCACCCTCACTGCTGCATGACAGGGCAAGCTCATTATTATTATTTACTTAATTTGTAGGCTGCCTGTTCCCAAGATTATGGGTGACTAAAAATCAAAAACCATAAAATAAGATAATAAACACATCACCCTAGTATTATTTACCTAATCTGTATTTATTTACTTATTTAGAAATTTTATATGGCTGCCTGCTCGCACGTGGCAACTCAAGGTGGCAGAAACGGATATAAAAAGAATAAAAAATGACAAGAAAAATAATAAAATGATAACCCCCACCTCAGCCACAACACACAAACTAGCCATTTAATGGGCTCCATCCAGCTCTGGGTTCCCCAGGCCTGCTGGCAGAACCAGGTCTTCAGTGCCTTCTGAAAGAGTGTCAGAGTGGGGGCCAGTCTAATCTCTGGGGGGGGGGGCTATGATGTTCCAGAGAGAGAGCCCATTCCCAAAATTCTGGATGACTAAAAAATCAAAACCATAAAAAAAAACACATCACCCAAATATACACGAAAATGATAAAGTGGGAAATATAAATTCACACACTGGTGCTCTCTTAACTTGCTCACTTGCAGACGTTTCATTACCTAACAAGGTAACACCATCAGGGCCAGGGTGAGTGTGGGAATTGATCCCTGTTTATGTACAACAGCTTGCCCTGCCTGCATTAGCGGAGGGGCCACTTTCTCCTTATTTAGAAAAGTAATAATAATAATAATAGTAAAGTTGGAAGGGACCTTGGAGGTCATCTAGTCCAACCCCTGCTCGGGCAGGAAACCCTACACCATTTCGGACAAATGGCTGTCCAGTCTCTTCTTAAAAACTTCCAGTGTTGGAGCATTTACTGCTTCTGGAGGCAGGCTGTTCCACTGATTAATTTTTCTCACTGTCAGGAAGTTTCTCCTTAGTTCTAGGTTGCTTCTCTCCTTGATTAGTTTCCACCCGTTGCTTCTTGTCCTGCCTTCAGGTGCTTTGGAAAATAGTGAGATAAGGCAGAGCTTCCTAGGTTGAACCATAGCTACAAAATGTGGCTTCTTTTACCTCCAGAATCAATCTTTCAATTTTGTCCAACTCATTTGTCTTTTGGTTATGCTGAAATTTCAGGCTTTCGAGATCCTCTTTTCCCAGATGGGCCGTTTCCAGCATGTGCTTCAGTTCTAAGGAACGACAGAAAAGGGCACATAAGACCATTTAAGTAAATGTTGGTAGGCATACAGAAAGCTACAGACGTAGCTACAATTTCTTTTTTTTTTTTTTTTTAAGCCAAACCTGTCTTATGCTGCTTTATCAGCCCCAAGATATCCTGTAGCTTTGTTTCTTCTTTTCGGATATTCTGCATTACGAGAGAAAGCTGGGATCTTTTCTCACTGAGCTGGGCATTGAGTTCTCCCTTCTGAACGCTCAGGTCTTCTAGAAAAGTCTTCATTTCCTGGGGAAAGAATGAAAGGGTTTGTTTTGGAAAGCGTGCAAGCAGGCAGCTCCATTCAGATCGAGTGCTGGCAGCGCCAGAGCAACCAGCACACCTGAGGGTAGCTTTACTTTCTGAATGGGGAACGCTGAATTAAAACAGTTCTCAAAAAATAGGATCGCCTGAAAACAACAGAATAGTCCAGACGGACAAAACCTGACAGAGATTTTCTGAATAAGATTTCCAAGCAATTGAAAACAAGCCTCTAAAAAAAGCTGTAATGTGACCGGAGCAGGGGAAAAAAAAAAAAAAGCAAAACCTTTATTAGCTGCTGTTTTTCAGTTATCTCTGCCTCTCCATCCCTGAGAGCTTCTGCAAAGTTGGCGTTTTTCTCAGCAACGCTGTCCTGGAGGAGGCGTAACTCGGCCCTTTTCTGATCAAGCAATCTGCCCACCACGTGTAACTCGTGCTGCTGAACGGAAGTCTGCCAAAACGAGAAAGCGTTCAGGTGCAGAACAAATCAAGTCTTTATTTATCAGACTTCAGGGCGATCTAAGCTCTGTCCTTTATTTATTTATTTTTTTACCTGTCCTGGATGTCAAGATGGGCTAACTGCATTCTGTAGCAGCTCCCTGATTAGTCATGACTTTCCAAAACTCAACCAGCTCATTGGCTGAGCTGCTGGTCAGACAGCGATAAGGCCCGTGTGACTCTTTGTAACATTTAAAATACTAGCCATAGTTGCGCTGGTATTCGTGGATAATAAACTCCCTCTGGTTATGAAGGCAGGCTTTTCCAGTTTTCTATATGGCTGCATCCAAGGGCTAGCTCAGAATATTCTTGGGAAATGTGGATCAGGAAGGATTCCACCCACCTGATCTTTCAATCTCTCCAGATCATGTTTTTTGCTCAGAAGGATGTTCTCTGCTTCTTTCAGGATCTGAAGGTGGTGATCTTCATTGCCTCCTGCAACTTGGATGTCTGTTTGCAGCTTCTGAAGGCTGGAAAAGAATGAAAACTGAAACGTATTTATTTTGGAGGAGGAATTGGCCGTCTACCCACTCCCAAAAGGCACAGCATTATAGAGGCCTGCAGTAGCCTTTTCAGAGAAAGGCACATTGGAGACGACGGAGAGAAGTAAAAAAAAAAAAAAGAGAGAGAGAGGATGAACACCATCTACCCAAGTGATGGAGGTCTGATGTCCATCAGATGCACCAGTCAAAAATACCTCTCAGTCAATATTTCTATCTTCTGGCTCAAGACTTGAAATTCGGAATCTTTCGCCGATACAATTTGGTTGATTTCTTTCAGGATTCCTTCTTGCTCCATCTTGTGCTGTTCCAAATCCTGGGAATCTGCTTGAAGCAACCTAAAAGGCATCACCAAAAATTTCTCGACTGCTTGCTTGTGAAAATCAATTATTTTGGGGGTTTTATTATTATTTTTTAAATCATGAGCTAAACCTAAATGCCCAATGGGCAAATTCTAGGATCCGTGTATCTAATGGAAACCACATGCACAAAACCAAATAATGTTTGAGCTTTTATCTCTTTCGTTTCCTGAGTGGGCGTTAGGAAGTGGGTTTGATCCCATCTTTTTATTCTCTTTTTCATCTTTTCATTCCTTCTTTGTACTTCTGCAAACTAACCATTGCTAATCCAGGGGATTTCACAGGCCCTGTCTTGAGGGCACGGGCAACCTTGTTTTGGATTGTTGAGGATCTATACTTGGAAACTGAACTTGCTGTTCCATTTGAGGGATGCCTTTCTGCTGATTTCAGGGAGAAGTTTATAATAAAAGGCTGAACAGGCACTGAAATCAACACTGTGGTTCAATAATAATGAAAGCCAAGTAAATACGGAAAAGAACAGCCCAATGATCAAAGCAATTAAATTGATTGCAGGTTCAGGAAGGCGGGTGTGCATAAATATACAGGCTACCTGCCGCACCGATTCTTCTCCCAGAGCAACGGTTACACGCCCGTAAAAGCAAACAAGGCTGTTCGTTAAACCAAGAGCAAGTATTCTCCTGAGTCACCACAGGACCCTGTTTTGTTGGGGTGAAGAATGTGATCTTAAAGTCACTTAAGTTCACCTGAACTCCTGATCTGCTTTTACAAGCCTCACAGCCGTCTCCCGGGCCCGTCGTTCCAGCTCCTCAGCGTCTTTCTCTATCCGAGACAAATGTTGCTTAGCAGTGTTGTATTTCTGAAGAGTGTCTTTGGTCTGGAAGGGGAAATAAACAGACCTGTGATTAGTCAAAGAAGAATAATTCTCTTATTCAGCCCTTGGAAGGGCTGAGAAGAAATAGGACAAGCAAGAGGAGGAATTCACTAACTAACAGGTATTTTAGATCACAACTACAATCCGTCCTCAACTTAGGATCAAAAATGGAGCCCAAAATTTCTGTTGCTAAGTGAGGCAGTAGTTAAATGGGTTTTGCTCCATTTTCTTGCCACGGTTGTTAAGTGAGTTAGTGACATGGTTGTTAAGTGAATCTGGCTTCTTCCTGGACTTTGTCAGAAGGTTGCAAAAGGAGATCCTGTGACCTCGGGATGTTGCAACCATCAGGAGTCAATTGCCAAGCACCTGAATTTTGATCACATGGCCACAGGGATGCTGCACTGTTTTCAGTGCCGTTGTAACTTCGGTCGCTAAATGAACGGTGGTAAGTTGAGGACTATACCTGCATTTTTTTAAATGGCCTCTTTAAAAAGACAGGCTGTATTTCCAAACGGAGAATTGGAAATACCTGCGAATGAGCTCTGTATGTGACTCGGCCATCAGCTTTTAATTTAAAAAAACACATATATACTTTTTAAAAAAAATTAAAAAATTACCTTTCCTCTGGTGTTTTCGAGCTCGGTTTCAGCTTCGGCCAGAAGACAGTCTGCCTCCCTGAGTTCTGCCCGTCGCTTCAGAAGCGTCTTTTCCACGCATTCAATTTCGTCCATGATATTTTCATGGCACTGGATCGACTCTTCCAATTCCAGCTCTGCAGTCAGAGCGTCCCCACACCCTTCAATAAAATCTCTAAAGCAGAGAGGAAGGAAGGAAGGAAGGAAGGAAGGAAGGAAGGAAGGAAGGAAGGAAGGAAGGAAGGAAGGAAGGAAGGAAGGAAGGAAGACTGTCAGCCATAAATATCCCCGGTTTTCTGCTCTCCTCTTTATCTAAATTGTTCTCATCCCTTAAGCACCGGTTTTAAACCATCCAGAGTTCTGCAAGGAAAACCAAGCTATTCATTTAATAAATAGTTATGAGATTGATAAAGTTCTCCAGATTTGCTCTACATATCACAGGAGCGTCACAGGAAAAACTTGCGAAACGGTATCTCCTAGCTCCTTCTTGCTTACAGGAATAAAAAGTGCCACGACATTCCACCCAGAGTAAATCTTTTGTTGTTGTTAAAGGATTGCTCACCTGCGCTTATATCTCTTCTGGGCTACCCGCCGCAGCTCTGCCACTTGGTATTCAAGCTCTTCTTTCTCCGTCAACAAGTCCTGTATGCCCTGGTTCAGCTCTTCCGTCTCGTTATTGGGTTCACGAGAAGTCCTTGCGGACCCATCTTGGTGTCGCTGAGACCTCAGCGCCTCTATGCTGTCTTCTAGCCTTAAGATATCGTTTTCCTGGCAAAGGTGGAGACCAAGGGTGTCATTAGAGCCTCTGTCTCCGCATCCAATTGGAGGAGACAGTCAAGATTGAGATGAGGCAGTCAAGCTATTTTCAAAGCCCCAAAAGGCAGAACAAGAAAGAGTGAATGGAAAGTAATGAAGGAGAGAAGCAACCTAGAACTAAGGAGAAATTTCCTAACGGTGAGAGCAATCAATGGAACAGCTTGCCTTCCGAAGTTTTGGGTGCTCCAACACTGGAGATTTTTAAGCAGAGAGTGGACAGCCATTGGTCTGGATGAGATAGGGTCTGCTGCTCGAACAGGGGGTTGGACTGGAAGACCTCCAAGCTCCCTCCCAATGCTATTATTCTATGTTCCAGAACTCAAAGGCTCAAGACATTTGTCACTATCCTTATCGTACCGTCATCTGGTAGCCTAGTCAAATCATTTCCTGATCAGGAGAGAATGGAGCTTGGGAAAAGGGGATTAGACTATACTGAGGGCTCCTGTCTTTCAGCGCCACACAAATCCAAGGATAATAAGTTTCTTCTGTATCACTGCAAAACCTGATGATTTAGCCTCTTACCAAGTCTCGGTGGTCGGGGATGTTGCAGTGAAGGATTCCCAGGGGAAGCAATGGCACGGAATAGTTAGCGGGAAGAAAACCATAATGCAGCTGGATTCCAGCGGGAGGTGAGCCGTAGACGACTGTCGTGGGAGCAACTGGGCCTCCGCTGGCTTGTGTGGAGAGAGGTTGTAGACCGTACAACACCGTCCCCTGAGGCACTGGTTTGCCATCCGGCAGCAGGGTATAAATGATGCATCCAGGAGGCAGAACACAAGGAGCAGTGCTGGGCAGGGTTTCACCCTCGCCATGGTGCCCTTGATGGAGAGACACAGTGAACACCGTCCCATTGAAGGACCCGGATAAGAAACTTTTGTGGAACACAAAGACACCAACAGCGAAGAACTGCACTCTCAGAAAAAGAAACGGTGTGTGGAAAATTACTTCAGAGCTGATGGTTACAGAAGGCCGAGCCCTGCATGGCATATATTGTTATTTGGTTTTGATCTGCCTGGTTTATAATGCAGGGTGTCTGTCACTCTGAAAGCTAGCAGTATGAATAAAATGCCAAGAATATTCCCTTTATAGTCAGAGTCACAACCAAGAAGCACGCTGAGGCACTCCCAGTCCTTACCTTCAACGGGTTCCCAGTGACATACTGTACATAGCAAGGAGAAGTTATGGTCTTTTATTTATTTATTCATCAAATTTTAAAAGCATCCCTCTCCTTCCTGGGAGCAAACAGAGATGCTGCTACGCCTGGGCAAATAATCTCCCAGCTTTCTCTGGAAAGTAAGGGAGTAACTTGCAAGATAGTTAGCGGAACTGACTTACTGATAGAGGAAGGTTCCTGCAGGCCAGCTTGGGCTGAGTTGTGCATGCAGCACTCTCTTGAAGCAGGATAATGTGCTTTCTTGCTTTCGGCAAGCTTCCTGTCCTGTTTGAGGATGGGAGTCGACATGGGACACTGTAAAATAATGCCGGAATCTTTGGTGCTCTGAGATGCAGGAGTAGATGCCTTGGAAACAAAGATAAATAACAACAAATAAACAACTTGAGTTGAGAGGGGAAGGCCCCAAGATAATAAGAGCTTTTCAGGCAAAGATAAAAGCTATGCTTTCAAATCCAGGGAAGGATGGCTTGCAATAGGCAGAAAGTCACCCATTGTACAACTATGAACCCTTCTATCAAAAGATGGCAACATACTATGATGCAGAAGCTGATTTAGACAGGCAAATATCTGTATGCACAAGGGAGGGAAGGAAAAAAGGGGCTATAATCATTGTGCTATGGAAATTCTCCAAGTCATGGCATTCACAAAGCTGTCTGTAAATGCTGTGGTTTTCCTTCTCTTTGGGGACCGGGTCTCTTCTCCACAGGGATAGAACCGGGCTGCAGGGGGAAAAAAATTGTACGGAAAGCGGGCTCTCTTGAAATGAAATTGTGGGAAACGGAAACCGGCTGGGCCTAGGAAAACTTAAAATATTTATCTCACTTTGGCTTAGCAAGGTGGGGAGAGGTTTAGAAGCAGCCCGCGTGAGGCGGGATGAAGCGTGAGATAATATGGCGCTTCCTAGCTCCAGATGTTTTTTTTTTTAATGAAAGCAAGCTGCAGCCCTGAAAAGGACTTGGCTTGGTTGATTGGAAAGCTCCTTTCAAGGCAAACAGTGCAAACGTTTTCATACTTGGGAGGATGACGGCACGAAGAACAGAGGCTGACACCGGTGGGGTGGAGTCACGAAGTTAGCGATGGTCTCGTTCTGCTGAGAGATGGTACATTGGAGTCCTTCAATTTCCTCCAGGAGGCCGTCCATTTCAGCCCTGTTGCCTAGAAGGGAATTTTAAAATGCCGTCTGCGGTTCTAAGTAGGTTGGCGATCGTGCGGTTTTGAGTTAGCTATTCTATTTGGTGCAACTTCTTCCGTGCAAGTTCATCCACATCTGCTGGAAAAGCAAAGAGGAAAAGAAACAAACCTTTTTTAACCTGGTCTAAGGCTCCGCGGAGTCGGTCAGTTTCTGCTTTCTGCCGTTTCAGAAGTTCGCTCAGCTTCTCCAACTCTTCCTTTTGCAACCGTGAAGCCGCCATCTCGGCGTCGTTTTTCCCCAGTTCTAACTGCAATATTGAGGGGGAAAAAAAGCATTTTGGGTTGAGAAGGTGTGCTTTCGAGGGTGCCCCGAACCGAGTCCTTCATTGTCCGCTGCTCTAACCGATTTTGACCGGCTGTCAAAAAACCGGAGGGTGGATTTGAATGAAATGTAAAACCAAGAAGGACCGGGGTCAAAGGCAATATCGTGAGTCCTCTCCTGGGGCAGAGGATATTTCTGATGAAGACTGTCCTCAAATTTTCAATTTTAAAGAGCTTTGGGAGACACTCAAATGGACATCTTACATCCCCCACCTCCTACACATTTCACTCCAGCCCTTTGGTCAATAGTAATAGCACCTAGACTTACACGGGCAGTCTTCAACTTATGACAGTTTGCTTAGTGATCGTTTGAAGTTACAACATCACTGCAAAAGTGACCTAGGAGTTTTTTTCACATGACCGTTAACAGCGTCTCCGGGGTCATGTGATCAGAATTCAGACCCTTGGCAACTGGCAAGTACTTAGGACTGCGGCAAGGGCCCCAGGGTCACCTGATCACCTTTTGTGACCTTCTGACCCGCAAAGTCAATGGGGAAGCCAGATTCACTTAACAACCATGTGACTAATTTAACTACCCCAACAATCTGGGTCCCCGTTTTACCCACCTCAGAAGGGTGGAAGGCTGAGTCAACCCTGAGCTCCGTCAGGATCGAATTCCAGACTGTGGGCAGAGTTTGCCTGCAATGCTGCATTCTAACCATGGCGCCACCAGGGCTCTGCTCCGAAAAGGAACATGTGAACGTAACATACCTGCGCCTCCTTTTCTTTGAGAAGCTTCTGCAAAAGTCCTATTTCTGTTTCTGCTCTGGCCAGGTCCTTAGCCGCTTGGGTGGCCTGCAGGCAAAACCTCTCGGCCTCCTGAAGCTCCTTCAGTTGGGAGGAGAAAAGAAAGGGGGAGGAAACACCAAATCACTTTCCATTAGCCTTTTACAGGTGGGATTGTGCACTTAACTATCTCTTGCTGGATTCACCAGCACTGATCACGTTTGCCTAGCTACAAGTGTCAAACACCGTAAACAGTGAGGAGTTGGTTGTCGTCCTTTTCAAGAGGGGCGTTTCAGCAGCACTGTACCTCGGTACGTTCCTGATTAATCTTGCAGACGGTTCCGTGAAGCGACTGGAGCTGGTCTTTGGCTGCGCAGAGTTGGGCGGTGGCCTGCTTATCGGAAGCGGAAATGGCTTCTTTTAAGGCCTTCAGCTCCTTGCTGAGGCTGTGGAACTGCAGCTGGGCCCTCGCGTCTTCCACTTTTTTCTGGAAAGACCCACAAAAGCGCATTCAAACAGATGTGAGCAAAGCAACACCAAGCGCTGAAAACAATAAATAAAAATAACCAGGATTCACCTTACTCTTTCCAACGGAATGCATCCACGCTAAACAAATTAACCAACAGCTAGATATTTTTGTACGAAGGATATTTCAAGAGGAGACACCCACCTTATTCTCTAAGTCTTCCAGCTCAGCAAGGATCTGTTCTTTCTCCTCATCGGCTTCTTGGAGCTGTTGATCGGTGAGGCCCTGAATTTCTTCCAGGCTCTTCAATTTTTCAACGAGATGTTGGATGTCCCCCTCTAGCTGCTGAACTCTGGCTTCATTCTGCCTTCTCTCAGATTTAATCTGGATAAATGCAAGAAGCAGAGGAGCCAGTGAACGATACTGAAAAGGTATCTTGTCAATATCCGACATTCTACTGATGTCTACTTTTTTTTTTTTTAGTTTTAAAACGTGGGAATGAGGAGAAGTGAGAAGGAACAGGCTGAAAATCTTATTTTATGAAAACGAACATGGAATTTAATGTGTTAGCCCAGTTCCTTCTCACGTACGACCACAATTGTGCCCAAAATTTATGTTGCCAAGCAAAACATTTGTTAAGTGAGTTTTACCCCATTTTATAACCTTTCTTGTCACAGTTGTTAATAATAAGGTTGTTAAGTGAATCTGGTTTCCCCATTGACTTTGCTTGTCAGACAGTCACAAAAGGGGATCACGTGATCCTACTGTCGTCGTACGTGTGAGTCAGTTGCCAACTGTCTGAATTTTGATCACACGACCACAGAAAAAAACAGTCATAGGTCACAATTTTCAGAGCCGTTGTAACTTTGAACGATCACAAAACGCACAGGTGTAAGTCGTGGACCATCTGTACTTAAAAATTTTCCTGCTGTATTAATAATTGTCATAGTTGTAATTTTTATTACAACTCAGGCGCTGTTTTTAGAGAGGTGCTCTCCTCTTCATCAATAGTCTGAGGGTCTCAAGCTATACAACTCTGATTGAGAGTTTGGGTATTATTATTACTATTTTTTTGCTTAAAAAGGGACCCTTAAAGTCTTCATAATCATAGCTACAGAGCAAGGAAATAGGAAGGCAGACAAGTATAATGAGACAGACAGAGAGGATTCTGTTTAATTAGATTCTGCAAAATATTGGTTGCAGGAGAGGGGTTGAGAAAAAGTGCCCCATGAAAACAAATTATTGTTTATAAAAGATTTCTGCCAAAATGCGAAGTAACTTTTCCTCCCACTTGTTATAATTTTGCCATTTATTTTATTTTTTTTCTTACTTTGGCTTCTGCAGCTCTGTTGCAGGCCAGTTTATACTTTTCTTGGGCTTCTTCCAGCTCAGCCCGCTGAGTAGCCATCTGTTTTTGGAGCTCTCTCTCTCTGGCCTGGACAGACTCATTTTCTTGCTGGGAACGAGCTAAGAGCTCAGCAAACTGTTTCTGCAGCTCGGCAAAGCTCTTCCCTAAAATGTCCTTCGGGTTATGGCACCTGTTTTAGAAGAAGCAATTTAAACAACAACAACAACAACAAAAAGATTGTGGCGATTTAAACCACAAATTAAAGTAAACAAAGACTTTGGACGCTTCTGGTTTTAACGCACCTGATTTCTGCCCCAGTCCGCAGCTTTTGTTTGAGTTCGTTCACACGAGCTGAGATTTCCTCGGGATGAATTAAGCTATCGGCTGCGTGATTCATTTGCTCCTGTGTGTCTTTCAGCTGCTGCCTCAAGAGATGGTTGTCCTTCTGCACGCACGAGAGAGACACGTTGTACCATTACAAAGTTGGAATTTATTTATTTTCATTTCGGTCGCAGAATGAAACCTACAGACATCTCATCAGAACATTAATAGTGCTGCACGTTTGCAAGCAAGATTTATTATTATTTTGTCATTCAGCTGCTTTGTTGTTATTACAACAAATAATAATTTCTCTAGCATAAAGGTTTTGTTAATTTTTTTTTTTTTTTATTGAAAATTTTTAAATTTTTACAAAAACAAATCCCCTTCCCATACCCCCCCCCAACCCTACCTCACCCCCCTCCTCCCCAACCTCCCAAACCCTCCCCTAGACTTCCCAGAGCTGAATACAGGCTTAATTGAGAAAAAAACTTAAAACACTTTTAAAACCTAAACAAATTTAAATACAATCATCATTCTATATAAACTCCCTCCAAAAACGCAAATTTAAACATTACTTTCTTTGAATATCTATAGCTATAATGTAAAATCTAATTTCTCCCTCTTTCTTTATCCTAATACAAAAAGATAAACATATAAACCTTTGTTGTACCATTAAAACTAAATACTCTTAGAAAACTTAAAGTAAATACATATTTCCTTCAATCTTCATAATCTTCTCACCTATCCAAAAAAAAAAAAAAAAAACTTAAAAATCCTAAACAAATCTAGACACATTTAGTTAAACAAATTATTTTCTCTTAAAAATATTAATAATAATATTTAAAAGCTTGAAACACTTTTAAATCCTAAACAAATCTAAATACAATCATCATTCTATATAAACTTTCTCCAAAAACACAGATTTAAGCATTACTTTCTTTCCTAAACAAATCTAGACATTTAATTAAGCAAATTATTTTCTCTTAGAAATATTAATAATAATATTTAAAAACCAAATTTAAGCATTACTTGAAACTTAAACAAATTATACTCCCTTCGAAACACAAATTTATTAGAATCCCCTCACTGAAATAAACAAATTATAATCCCTTCAAAACACAGGTTTAAACAATATTATCATTAAAGGTTTAAAACTTAAAACTGAAATATATTATTATCCCAAAACACATATTTAGACATTACATAAGACATTTTCCAAAAACGATATAAGTTTTACTTCTCCCACAATCTCAATAGTAAACTTCTTGTCTAAAGTTCTCATTCAATGTCCATAATTTTCTGTCCAATAACCAGTTGCACCCACTATAAACACAAACTTCTTATCTAAAATTTTCATTCAATATCCATAATCTTCTGTCTAATAGCCAGTTGCATCTACTATAAGCACAATCCATATTGGTCTCTCTTGCCCGCAAGCATCGAAAAAAATGCGTGGAATTCTGCCCTTGAAGATCGCTCCAAAGAGTTTGTAAGTCCTGGTTGACCCACCAGCTCAGGAATCAGTACCTGTGAAACTTCCTCAACCTCCTTCTTCTGTTGGTCTTTCTCTTTACATTTATATGTTACTTTTTCTTTACATTTATATGTTGCACAAGTCTCAGGGACCGATACCTGTAAAACTTCCTCAGTAAATTCCTCCTTGTGTTGATCTTCACAGTTGTAAGTTGTACAAGTTATCCTCTGCCCGTTCCTCTCTTGTTGGTGCCCCTCAAGCTGAAATTTCCCAATTTCGATTTCAGGCAGCAATTCCACCCTTGAAGATTGCTCCAAAGACTTTGTAGGTCTAACTTCTCCCAGAGCTACCCTTGAAGATTGCTCCAAAGACTTTGTAAGTCCAACATCTCCCAGAGATTCAGAGACCGCTGAATATGAAACTTCCTTAACCTTCTTCTGTTGCTGCTTTTCTTTGGAGTTATGTGCTACACAAGTTGTCTTCTGCTCCTCAATCTGGACTTGTTGAGACCTAATAGATGGCGATGCACATACCCCCAGGACCGAAGTATAAAAATCTTTTGCTTGAGAAACAGTATTAAGTCTATGACATGTCCCCAGGTAGTTCACCACCATTCCAGTCGGAATATCCCATCTGAATAGAATTTTTCTCTTTTTAAGTTCATTTACTAGAAAAGCAAACTCCTTTCTTCTTCTTAAAATTTTAGATGGGATCTCCTTAAAAATTATGACATCTTGTGAAGCAATTTGAAATCTCTTCTTATAATAGGCTTGCACAATTTGATTGCGTAAGGATCTTTTACCAAAGTAAATTACCACATCTCTTGGCAGATTCTTCTGTGCTGCCACCACAGAGTTAACCCTAAATAATTTTTCAATTTCACTAAGTATTCCCTCTTTTTCTTTATTCAAAATCAATGCAAAGTCCTTTGCAACCATTTCTTTCAAATCTTCTTGCAAAGACTCTTCCAGGCCTCTGATTCTTAAGGCATATTCCATTTGTCCATATTGAAGCATAAGAATCTCATTTTCCATTTCTTTTTCCATACTTTCAATTTTCCCCTCCATTATGTCCACTTTTTCAGCTACCTCTTCCACATGGGAGTTCACCTTTTCAAGAACAGAAGCAACTCCTTCTAAAGCCAAAACAAAATCTTGTCTCAAGATCTTATTATTTTCCTCTAAAATCTTTTTCATTTCTGCCCTAATTTGAATTATAACATCTCCCATCATGTTTTGCAAATCCTTCATAGTTATTAGCTGACCCCCAGAAGAGGGTGAAACTGTTGATTTAGAAGCTGTAGAAATCCCTGGACGCTTTGGAGCCATCTTAAAGAAAAACCTTTAGCCCTTCTTAAAAAATTATAAAAATTCCTTCAAAAATCATAACTCCCTCCAAAGAAGGTCATTATAATAAAAAGAAAAAAGGGGAAAAAAAAGGAAGAGAAAAAGAATTAAAAAAAGCTTTACTCCTTCTTAAAAATTGCAAAAAATTAAACAGAAAAAAGTCCTTCAAAAAAGAGTCATTACAATATAAAGAAGGGAGAAGAAAAAAAATAATAATAATAATAATAATAATTAAATAGAAAAAGTCCATTCCAAAAAAAAATACTTAGAGATACCAAAAACAACCATTCCAATCATAAGAAAATAAAAAGGGAAAGGGAAAGGAAAGAAAAAGAAACACCAAAAAGCCTGCCGGTCAGCATTCTAACTTCAAAAAAAAAAAAAACACCGAGAGATTTGCCGATCGCCATTTTACTTTCCCTTTCAACAGAGAAAAAAAAATAAAATAAAATAAAAAGAGAGAATAAAAATAGAAGCAAGTCTTAAAACTTAAAATCCAAATAAATCAAAGAAAGCAAAAACTAAATCCTCTACTCAGCTCTGTCCGTTTATAAAAAAAAAAACTCACCAGTTCTCTTTAAGCACGGAGGTGTTTGCAGCGGCTCGTTTTGTCCCTGAGGACAAAAACAGCTGGGAAGCGGAGACAAGTCCGAACTCCGTGGGAGCACTCCTTTCACCCCCCCCAAAAAAACTTGGGGGGTGCAAAAGAGGCTCTACCACTATTCGGACACTCTCTACCCCCCCCCTTTGCCCGGGAGGGGGATTTTGAACCGCTGAACAGCTGGTGTCTGCTGTTCATAGCGGTTCTTACACTTGCCCAGGAAAGACGGCTACAAAGTAGCCGCCATCGCGCGCGCAAAATCCACCGGAAGTCCGGTTTTGTTAATTTTTAACAGACCTGAAAGACAAGAAAATGTAACTGGTTCCCATCAGGCTAATATTAATTCTTTGAAGGAAAAGGAGCAGAGCTACGAATACAATTGGGAAAAATATTCTACCTGCAGCTGGTTGAGTTGGGAAAGCAGCTGATTATTTTCCTGTTCCCTCTCTTCGCACAAGCGTGCTTTGGCCAAGGCATTCTCCAGGGCTAGCCTCTCCTTGCCAAGCTGAGCGTGGAGGGCAGACTGTTCCACCTGTACCCCCCAATCAGAAAAAAAATGAGGTAGAAAGCAAACGAAGAGAATCTTTTAAAGAAACCTCCAAATTAAGCTACTGAATATTGATTTACATTTTCCTTCTAAAGGCCCTGAAGATGAAGTTCCCATCAGGATGGAATTTGGGAATGCCTTTGTTGAAATAAATCTGTCCAGAATATTGTTGACACCTTAAAACATCACTCCCAGCAACGATTCTAAAGCTGGAGAGCCATTAACTTTGATTTTCAGACAATAAGAGGAGGGAATCTTCTTTCTGTACGTTTGCCTTACCTGAATAATCTGCTTTAACTTCTCAAGCTCTTCTTTCTGCTGGCTGGCTTCAGTGTCTCGGGCCTTCAGCTCAGCTTCCAGCTCAGCCTCGTAAGCGCTGATTTCTCCTTGGGCTTCCTGCAAGGCCTTGTTGAGTTCACGCTGCTGTTGGAGAGCCCGTTCCAGGTTCGCAGTTTCCTGAAATCAAAGATACCCGCCTGTCAGCTAAAGAAACAGAGGGAAAAAACAGCATTTGAGGAAGACAGGTGCCTTCGGAAACTCACTTTTCTCAGGTTTTCAGCATCGATGGCCACTATTTCCAACTGGTTCCTCTCTTCCTCTACTTCCCCCAATTTTTTCAACAAACTTTCCTTCTCCTGCCGCAGCTCTTTGCACTCGTCGGTGGCTTGCTTCGTCTGAGTCTTAACGTTCTTGAGGTATTCCTGTAATCCTAGGATCACTTCTTCCAAGTCTTTTTTCAGGGCTTCGTTGGCTGCAATCTGGCCTGCAAACAGATGAATTCAAGACAGTTCACAAGCTACCCCAGGTGTTTCTTAAAACAAAACATTGACTTATATTTACCGGTGTCACTAAATGCCTGTGCCCCTATGTCCGAGGCACGTCTGGCCAGTTTGCCATAAAAATTTTGGATGGAGGAGATGACTGCAAAGGAGAAGGTTACCATCTGTAAGCTGTTGCTCCAAATCCCGGATTTCCTCGGTTTCATTTGCGATCCGGGACAGCACGTCATCCAGGCGGCTTTCCAGTTGCTTATAATGCCTCCTCATCATGTCGAGTTGCTGTTCTTTGCTGGATTTCTGGGCCTTCATATGAGCCTAGGAAGAGAATGGACAGAGGTTGAGATTCTGGAAAGAGTGCAGAGAAGAGCAACAAAGATGATTAGAGAGGCTAAAACATACAAAGAACGGTTGTAGGAATTGGGTATGTCCAGTTTAATGAAAAGAAGGATGAGGGGGGACATGATAGCAGTCTTCCAATATCTCAGGGGCGGCCACAAAGAAGGGGGGGGGTGTCAACCTATTCTCCAGAGCACCTGAAGGCAGGACAAGAAGCAAAGGCTGGAAACTAATCCAGGAGAGAAGCAACCTGGAACTAAGGAGAAATTTCCTATCGGTGAGAGCAATCAACCAATGGAACGGTTTCCCTTCAGATGTTGTGGGTGCTCCATCACTAGAGGCTTCCCAGAAGAGATTGGACAGCCATTTGTCTGCTGTAGGGTCTCCTGCTCCAGCAGGGGGTTGGACTAGAAGACCTCCGAGGGAGGTCGCTTCCAACTCTCTTATTCTATGTTCTATGACAGCTCAAAGCAACGGCAAGAAAACAAAAACCAAACACCCTCAGCAACTAATGTAAGTACTATATGCAGTAACCGGTTTTTTAAAGATCACAAAGCCCATTCCAAGTTGAGTGATGGGTTTACCAGGCAACACCTATCATGATTAGACTGACAGCACAGCCCACCTAAATTGTCCTGATAGCAAGTTTTGTTACAGCCTCCCTTTGCACCACTGGCTTAGAAAACAGTAGCTAAATTTTGCCTGCTTGATTTCCTTTAGCTGGGCCTTCAGCCTACCAATAATTACAGCTATACTGTATTTGGCTATTTCTGTATCAATAGAAAAAAGAAAAGGAAAAAAAAAGAAAAATGACGGTTTGGATTGCCAACTTCAAAAATAAAAGCAACAGCAATGGTTTAAAAAAAAAACAAAACGAAGGAGGTATCTCAAGGCTAATCCAATGGTCTCTTTGCAAAACTGCAGCGTCCAGCAATTATTTTAAAAATGCAAAATCCTAATTACTCCGATTCTGAGAATGAAATGATTTCCTCCAGATTCTCGGAAGCAACGCAAAAAAAAAAAAAAAAGGTTGAAGCAAGCTACATGTGAGCACAATCGCAGACTCGCTAAACTGCTCAGCCCCTGGTGACACACCCACAATCTTTCTTCTACAGTCTATTGCTGAATACTGTCGACTCCCTCGAGGTCTCTGCAGCTGCTGAGCTGAGTCTTTTGACAGGAGGAGGGGGAGAGAGAGAGAAAAAAAAGGAGAAGACTTACACTGCTTTCTTTGTCTTGCTTTCTTTTCCGCAGCCTCCCCCCACCCCCACCCCGCTCTCAGCATGTGAAATTCATGCAGCAACGGAAGGCGTTGCTTAACTGGGACTCAGTTCCCCTAATCTCTTTTCTCGTCCTGTGCATCGTCCACTCTTTTGACAGTTGCACTCAGGCGAGGAAGTGGTTTGAAAGAAGCCAGCTCAGAGACCCGTGCCAGATTCTTTGTGACGCTTGCACAGCAGGAACGGGTGTGCCCAATCCCCTGCTCGACTCAGCGAGTCGGGATCTGCCCTGTTTGCTTTAAATCACAACACAGGAAGCGCCCGTCAGCGGCCAATCGGCTTTAGGAGCTGCAACAGGCAGATCTGGAGAGGAAACGGCTTCCTTTTGTTTGGAAAGCATGCGGGGATGTCAGTTTTGGAAGGCTGCAATCTGGGCAGGGCTTTTTGTGTGGTGCGCTTTGTGGCCTTGCGCACAAAAAAAAAAAAAAAAAATTAGTTTGGGACAAGAAGCATTCACGCCCATGGGATTGAAAAGCTAGAGGAGCTGCTTGCAAGCCATCCGTGCTGAAGGAATTTGCGATATTCCGCAAAATGAAAGAATTTGGGTCAATGAAAGTTGGCTTTGCTGAGGGAACTCTGGGTAGGGGAATACATCTATACCTCCTGCAGACAATTGGACATTGGCAATGACTCTGGCAATAAACAGGAAGCATCTGAAGGACGTAGTTGCCAAAAATCTAAAGAAATCAACTTGAAGTTGAATTGAGTTTCTTCAACGGAACAGATCCTAGTTTAAAAAAAAAAAGAAAGCAAACCATTTCAAAACAGGAAGACTTACATGTCTTGGGTCTTTAGGATCCAGAGAATCTAGGAAACTTTGCAAGCCTTCTAGCTCTTTTTCCTTTTCCACCATTTCTTGGCGCTGTTTTTGCATCTGTCTCTCTAGTTCCAGAGCCTCCTCTTGTAAATGATGTAGAAGACGTATCTTGTTGCTTAGCTGGTGCCGAAAACAATCTTTTTCTGCTTCAGATGTCTGAATTTGAACATGCAGAGCATATAATCAATGAAAGAGATTATGGGAAAGGAGGAGCACGCAAGAGATTCCCAAGCTAAAAGCTGAGGTATAAAAACCTGGAATCTACTGCAATTCGGGAATCGGGGTTCCCATTCCTGTTTAGACATCAACCTCCTTGCATTAATGGAAATTAAACCCAAATATAAATGCGCAGGACTGTGACTTTTGAGGGTTTCCGAGTCAGTTTCTTGTCATTTTATGCTCAGCAGCATTGCTATAAATGATGAAAATGGAAGATAAAATGCTAAATATGTTGTTATTGTTCCCATCCCAGTTTAAGGATTGTTTTAATGTTTTGCTCCAAAAAGCATTGTGTCCTCTAGTTTAAGAGCCTTAAACTGGAATGTTTGAAATTTATCCTTCAGGCACAAAAAAACTCTTAACAGCTAAGGTTTTGTCTTGCATTAAACCATTTTTATCTATGGTTTATTGGGTTCGACGCAACACGTGACTGGCAAAGCAGAAACCTGGTTTAGCATGTTGGGTGAGCCTAGCTAGATTGGTTGTCACGCTGCTCATTTGTTCCTACCTTTTTCTGCCCAACAGCATCTTGGACTTGTTTAAGCTCCTCAGTGACTGTTAAGACCTGCTGCTCTGCCTTTGCAACTTCATTGTGCAGTGTGGCCAATTGTTCCTGGGCTGAAAAAAATGAAAAAAAAAAAAGATTTAATTGATTAAAAGCAGGCAATGTAGAAGCTCTGGAAGGCATCTCTCTAGTGTTAGAAAAGCCAATCCTTTTTTTAATTTTTAAAAACCAACTGCTGCCAAAGCTTTTAAAGACTCTTTTTCTTTCATGCCCAGGGTTTGAGAGGCCGCTGAGAGGCTGAGGATCGGAGACGGGTTTAAAAAGAAAGATCAAAAGAGCCAAGGGGTTTGACTTTAAATCTGAATAACCTCTGAAGCTATTTCAGCATGTCTTACTGGAATCTACCAGGATGGCTAAACCTGTGAGAGGAGGAGCTGTCTATTTCAGGTCATCTCTGTCATCGCACGGACTGCTCATGATTTCAAGGTAGGAAAAGGAAAGCTGTTAATACCTTCTTTAATCTTCCTCTCTTTTTCCTCAAGCTGTTTATCGAGCGACTGAAGAAGATTCTGCTTCAGCTGCTGGGTTTCTTCTTCCTGTTCCAAGTTTCCCATCTGCATCTGCTGAGCCTTTCTGGGGATGTAACCTTCCACAGCAAACATGTTCCTTTTGTACCTGGCCTTGCCGATGTACGGACTTTCGCCCGGTACGTTGTCAAATTCGACATCCTAAAACAGGAGAAGTGACGCAAGAGTCCAGGGATGTTAGGACATCATCCGCAAAGCCAGCATCATCTGAACCATGAGACGTGTTATTTCTGTTTTGATTTAACCAATGTGTTTCATAAAGATCTTACTACTAATTCTTATTCTGTTAAATAACTAAAAACTTCATCCAAGTCCCCTTACTTGTGGATTTTATCTTCTTCAGCCAACCTGAACTTTAATCGTCATATAAAGTTTCTGTTATACATACTAGTTTGTGTAGATGAGGGATAGAAGCAAGAACATCTAAGATTGAAAAAAGCCATCTCGTTTGCACTCAAAAGGTCTTCCCCAGCTTTGATACTTCCACATTTTGCCTGACTACATGGCCCATTCTTAGCAAGTGGGGATTTGAGACAAGCATATCAGGAGGTGACTAGGGTCAAGGAAGTCTGTATCAGAAGCTTCAACTATGTACATGTTACCCTCCCTCTCTCTCCCAGGATGAAGAGATGACCTGCAATTTATTGAGGCTTCATATTTTGGAAGCACAAAGAGTCCCACAAAAACATGATCCAGTTCCAAGGATGACTCTTTTCATTACTTCTTCCATAAGTTTGAAGTTAACCATGGGAAGAAGTATGGAATCTTTGGTGAGGAAGAAATATGGAATACTTAGTGCTCTCCAAGCTTGCTGCTTTTCTTGCAGACATTTCACTACCCAACTAGGTAACATCATCAGCGCCATCATCATCAGAGGAAGGAGTAATCTGAGCACGTACTTAATGTGCATAAGCCTCTCTTCTCTGGTCATCCCATTGAAAATGGGACTACCAGAAATTTGGCTCTCGTGCTAGCCAAAATTTTAGATCCCTGGAAATTAGAACAACATCCAAGAATTACCTCCATGGGATAATAGCCCAACGGCTCGAATTTGGCATCAATTTTATAGAAGGCCAGTTCTTGTTCCAGCTCATACTGCTTCTGACAAGCTCGAGTCAGTTCCACGGTTTTCTGCTTCAGCTAAGGAAAAATGCAGGGAGTAAAGCAACGTCAGCTTCAGGAAAATGTGAACACAAGCAGGAAGTCAAGATCCCAGCACAATAGTGGGCATGGATGATGTGACAAATTGGCTTACGCATCATATAAAGCTATGCTTTAGACTCATGGTTTGCTGAACAATCCATAGTGGGTTTGTTCATGCAGAAGGCAAAGCCAAAACCAGAACAGATCACACAATGGCTTAGCATAACAAACTGTTTAATTAACCATAGTTAATAAAAGCATATGACACAGTGCATCTCCTAAAGAATTTAACTTCATATTAAGTCTGCAAGCAACCCATAACCTTAAAATAGAATCTATGGGTGGTTAACACCCATATATATTGCTTTTACCAACTCATTTTTGGTTTCCAGCTCACTCTCCAGGTCTTTGTGGTTCTGTTTCTGCTGGTCTTGCTTCTGTTTTAAGGATTTATTCTGCTCCTCTTGTTGATGGATCTGCTCTAGCAAATCAGACTGTTTGTTTTGCAAGTGTTCTATCTCCTTGGTCATCTGTTCCAAGTTATGTTCTAGGTGTTCTATCTCTTCTGCAAAGACAAAGCAAGCCAGAAAGTGATGTCCAGCTTCTTCACAGGAAAGCAAATAAGGAATGCAAACTGGATTGGCAGGCCAAATGAGGGTTCAAACTGGCACTTATTTACCTAAATTAAATCTTTCAAGGGCTTCTTCCCTGTCACAATTTGTCACCGGCTGCCCCTCCAGATCCTCCAATGACCTCAGATGGAAGATGGTATAGAGACGATAGTGAGGCAGGTTGACCACTGGGTTGTCTGCCAGCAACAGAGAAGTCAAATCTTTAAGAGGCTTCAGTTTGGCTATTTCATGGAGCTGAAAGGAAAGAATAGCGTAGGAATTAAACACTTGAGGCATAAGCTGAAGTTAGTTTTCTACTACAGATAAGTAATGCAATAGAACGTTAAATAAGTTAAATGGTTCTTTTACGCTAAAACTGAATAGAAATCGATGAGGAGAAGGCATTACACACACTCACACTAACACACAATGATTCTACCAATCATAACGCATAATGTTAACTCAATTTCTGGTGTTAAAAAAACCCTGCTTTTTCTACTACAGTACTTTCATAGAGCTTTACAAATATACAGCGATAGAACCAAAAACAGAAGTCAATGAAGAGCATTTTAAGGACACACAAAATGCTTCTTTGTGTGGGAGAGAGTACATTTTCTTTTTTTAGCTTGAGGGAACATTTCCCAGAAATTATGTGATCCTATCCTTGTTTTCTAGCAGAAAGCAATATATATTTATAGTAACTTTCTGCAGTCATAGGATTCTGCAACTGGTTATCCCAGTTAGTTCCTTTGGCAAAAGCAATACCACTTAGACTTATATAGCACTTTACAGTGCTTTACAGCCCTTTCTAAGCAGTTTACAGAATCAGCATATTGCTCCCAACAATCTGGGTCCTCATTTTATCAATCTTGGAAGGATGGAAGGCTGAGTCAACCTTTAACTGGTCAGGATCAAACTCCTGGCTATGGCAGAGTTAGCCTGCAATACTTCATTCTAACCACTGTGCCATCTGGGTTCTTTAGTTATAGTCTGGTATTCCAAGGAAGCAGAACTGTTTTCAGAGGTGACTATATTGTTATAGTGCTGAGAAGGAATTAAACAATCACAACGATAGCTATGGTGGGATAATAAACACTGCTATGGGGGGAAATCACTTACTGATGAGATTTTATTTTTTCTTAAATTCAGGATGCGAAGGGACCGGAGTTTTTTCCCCAGCCACACAGGGAGGTGTTCAATCTCATTCCCAGCCAGATTCAGCTTTTGAAGACTGTGTAAATGTTCAATACCTTCTATTTTACTGGACAAAAAAAAGAGAGATGGGTTGATAAACAGGCATTTTAAGGTGAGGTTCAGATTTTATCATTAATGTTAGTTCTTACACAAAGAAAGAGCTGTGATAACATTTTCCCATTCAATAGGCCAGGATTAGAAGAACTGAACAATGCCTCACCTTAAATAAAAAAACTTAAGAAGTTACAAGAATGGAAGGGCATCTAAACTTACAGGAAGTTTGCTAACATACATTGGTTGGTTATTATGCATTATTTTTCCATGTACTTCTTAGACTTCCTCCATGTACTTATATCCCTTTACAACAAAAGAATGACCAAGATATTGAAATTGAGAGGGTTTATCAGAAGTTTAAGAAGAATGTAAAAGTTTGCCCTCCTCATTTTACCACACATTAATAATCTCCAGTTGATGCAAGTTTAAAAAATGGGAACAGCCTTATCTCAAGAAAAGCATAATCTGCTTTGTAATTATTCACTCTTTTTTCTTGCTTACCTTATTCTGTTGAAAGAGAGGTTGAGATCTAATAGCTTCAGAAGTTTATCCAATTTTTCGATCTTTTCGATCAGATTATGACTGAGGTTTAGGACTTCCAGTTTACTGCATTTCTCCAGATTTTCTATGTACTGAAAGGAATAAGAACATCCTACTGAATTAATCTATTTCAGCTCTGCAATCACACTATAAAGCATTATAAGGTGTTTCTTTAGATTGGGTTTATTTGCCCAATTCCCACAATCTCTTATTTGTCTGTGGTTGATGGTTGTTAAAGTACAAAGCACCAGACATATACCTTAAATTTTTTCCCTCCATCTTTACTGAGAGAAAGATTCAGAGCAGTTACGCGCGCCAGATTCTCTTGCTTGGTCAGCTTCTTAATAAGAGGCTCTGTTATGTACCGGATACCTGGACTGCCATCTGAAATCAACAGCAAGGTTTGTGAGGTAGTGAGTGATACAGAAACAGAACAAGGAACGATCTAAACATTATCAAAGCCATAGAGGTAAATTATGGGAGTTGAAGTTCAGACATATTAAAATGGCTGAAGTTGAGAAACGCTGTATTAAACTTATAAGCTGCCAACTCCATAACACTCTCAGTGCCACCTAATAATAAAAACTTTTAAAATCAAACAGTCCATTCAATACAAAGTAGAAAAAGACCAGCAGCAGAACTCTTCTCTTCCATCAACTTCATAAGGCCTGAAATCTTTATGATAGGATTAGAAATCATATTCATGTTCGGATGAAGTGGTAAGCCAAAACAGAAATATAGATAGACTTCGACTTACGACACAGCTGAGCCCAAAATTTCTGTGGCTAAGCAAGACAGTCGTTAAGTGAGTTTGGCCCCTTTTTACAACCTCTCTTGTCACAGTTGTTAAGTGAATCACTCCCGTTGTTAAGTTAGAAACGTGGCTGTTAAGTGAATCTGACTTTGCTTGTCGGAAAGTTACAAAAGGGGATTGCGTGACTCCCCCGATACGCTGTGGCTGTCATAAATATGAGCCAGTTGCCAAATGTCTGAATATTGATTATGTGACCTTGGGGATGCTGCAATGGTCCTAAGTGTGAAAAACGGTCATGCAACTTCGGACACTAAATGAACGGTTGTAAGTCAAGGATTACCTGTAGTGTATATTCTACACACATACACACACACAAAAATCTTAAAGAGCCACGCCCAGATAAGATAACCTTTATTGTCATTTTATACTGTGGGCACAATGGCACACGTTAAAAATGAAATTGTTTTCTGCCTCTCAAAAGCATAACACATACATAACTCACATATAAACATGCTATATACATACACCCTTACATACAAATACATATAAATATCAATCATAATATTAATATTATTTAGATCTCTTAAGCCAAGTCCCTGAAGGAAAGCTGCAACATTTGATTATATCCCTCACGGATTATTGCAATACCTGTATCGCTTTCTTGATCTACCTCTCCTTGATAGCTTCGCCCAGTTGGCTGGTGGATCCCTTCTCTGTTCAGCGGAGACGATGACCTGCTACGGGCACTTGCAGGAGACTTTGGACTCCGAGCACGGGACGGAGACATCTGTGGATTCCCAAGGGATGTTTTCTGTGGCTGGCCTCTCCTCATCGCACAGACCTCTGCATGTCACAAGGCAAAAAGCTGCAAGGAAAGACACCCAGGCTTTAGCAGGGCATAACCAATTGAGCAGCTGCTTCACTGTAAAACAAGAGGAGTCAGCAACTTTTAAACCGGCTTCCCTCCAAAATATTAACCTGCCCTGCACTAATTTTTCACAAGAAGGGAAATCAATTAGAAGACACGTTCTCCAAGGCAGCCTAGTTTTACACCTCCATCTTTGCTTACTCACTACATGCCTCTTTTCCGGAAGCTGTGGTTCCCCTTCAGCGCATAAACACTTTAGCAGATGTTAGCTGCTGCTTTTACAGTTCCAAAGTAGCAGGATCCACTCAAGAAATCCCTTCAGTGTTTGCCCCGATAATTTGCTTCCGTTACCTACCTTGAGGCCACTAATAACAAGCATAGATTGTAAGATGACTCTCTCATCTGTATCAGCAAAGGGGTAGCTACTTTTTTAAAGGTAAAACCAGAGATCAAACAGTTTCATATTTAGGAAGGAAAAAAATGACTTGAAAGTAAGATCTGAGGTTATGCTCTGAATGCATGTAACTTTTTCTGCATAATCTATTCTCTTAGATGTACACTTATGAAAGCAGTGCCCCAAATTTATTTTGGTATTTAATTTTTTAAAAAAATATGCCTTTGATGTTTCTACGTTCTTTCCTTTGGGCATATTTCTACTGGTATACAAAAGAGCCAGTCATTGCTGGAAACTAGCTTAAACTAAAATCAGGAAAAACACATCGCCTGTTCTAAGTTCATTCTCAACAAATTTTTGAAGGAAGGCATCCCTTTTGTCTTGATGTATCTGTTCAATTGTATCAGATTTTATTGCTAATATATTATTTCTCTTCTGACTGCTTTGTTTCTTGGTATTGGGCTTCTTATCACCTCAGCAGGAGACAGCACTTGGCTGACCATGTTCAATTCAAAAACGGCTGCGGGTTTATGCCTGGATAGGAGACCACAAGGAAATCCAAAGTTATAGGATAGACTGGGAACTTGAAAAAAAAAAATCTAAAAGAAAATAGTGATAAATAGCTTCTATACTGCAGCAAAGAAAATTACATAGACAGGCCTATGAAGTCATAAGACATTGAGCCTGAAGATAAATTTTATTGAGTTTATCAGATTTGTGTGGTCCTCTTATGCAGTACTAGAGAAATCATGAAGTTAACAAGGAAAAAAAATACATACATGTAACATTTTGTCATGTACAGGAACATGCTGTGCTTGCAGATGTTGCTGGATTACAGCCCCTAGCAGACCCTAACAGTATTTCCATTGGCAAGGAGTGCTGAAAACTATAGAGTAGTTGTACAATATGCAAAAGATCACAGTTTCTCCATTGCAATTTTTTTCTAACACATGAAGTAGAAAGCAGCAGATTTTATCAATCAATAACCGAGTTTGTCCAACACAAGGAATCAGTCACCCACTTCTAATCTGTCACCCACTTCAGGGTGCTCTGCTAAAGTAGCCCATGTGGGTAATAAGTTCAGTGTCATTCAAGAACAGAAATAAACTCAACTAAGATAGCCATTATTATTTTGCACTTTCGGACAAGCACCTCTTTTGAAAACCTTTAACCAGGGATGGGGGGGGGGGAAGAATTCCTATAACAGAAAAAGGGAGAAACAGTTTCAAACTTGGGTCAATTTCTTTCACAGGGAAGACACCATGTATCAAAAACTCTATTATAACTTTTAAGCAAAGCAAAACAAATCAATCCTAGATTTTTTTCTTAAAAAAAAAACTGGAAAAAATAAATTCAATATTTGCACAACAAAATAAAATCATGGGCTACTTGGCAAGATTGTAACATGGTGGAGAAGATGCAAACAAAAAAAGAGAAAAAAAGAAAAAGGGACTTTGAATTTTAGGTGGGAAGGAACTGCAACCAGAAAATTTAATACAGCAAATACAAAAAAATGAAATAAAATAATGGGTATATGTAGAGCATAGGAGATGTTTTGGACTACAGTTCCCATTAGCCAGCCTTGGGGGGAGGGCTGATGGGGATTGCCCATCTTGCAACACACTGGCTAATGGGAACTGTAGTCCAACGCATCTCCTATACATATAATCATAATTTTATTTTTTTTATTATTTTTTTGTATTAAATTTTCAGATTTTTTTTTAAAACCTGGGCCTTTGCGGGGGGGGGGGCCGGCAGCCTCCAACCTTACTCCGGCCTCTCACGCACCACGGGAGATCCGCTGACTGCCTAAGGGATGGGATTTGTAGTTCAAAGGCTCCCACCCCCCACCCCCCTCACCGGCGAGGCGAAGGCTCCCCCAGATGGGGCGAAACCTCGAGGAGAAGGCATTACACACTGACACACAACGTCGCAACCGCCAAATCTCTCCTCACCTGCGCAGCTTCGGCCCACCTGGCCGGGATGAAGCGCCCCGCGCGCCGCGCGTTGCTTCCCGCCGTTTCCATGGCAACCGCTCCGGGAGCCGCGGCCGGGCCCGGATTGCGAGGTTGGGGGGGGGGGACAGCCGCGCGCGCCCACTGTGTGCGCGTGCGCACGAGCGCGAGCGCGCTTCCTTCCCCCGCCCAGCGCCACCCAAGGACCTCCTGGCGAATTTCTTCTTCGTGGCCACTTCGGCCGCGATTGGCTGCTCCGAAAACCCGTCGCTCGGATTGGCTGAGAGGCCTCTCTCCTCTCCGAGAGGCGGGGGCATTTAAAAAGACGGCGGGCTCCCTCAGGCTGAGTGCAAAAAAAAAAAAGCGAGCGCGCTGCAGAGGCAGCAGACGCCGCTACCGCGTCTCTTTTTCCTCCAAAGAGACGATGCTGCGGGGCGCCGGGGGGCAAAAATTTCTCTCTCTCCGGCGCTCCCGCGGCCCAAGTCCTCGAGCTCGAGGCCGGGCAGGGCCTTTTGAGCTTTTGAGGTAATTCTGAGCCTTCTCTACGTTGTAAGATACGGGGGGGAGCGGGAGTTCTTTAGCTAAGGAATAGCCTGTTCTCGCGGAGTAAGGGGGGCACCCGTGGTAATTTGAACCGAGGCGTGTATTCTTCGCAGTAAAAGGCCGGGGGTGGCCGAGGGGTGTTATTTAAAAGGACGCCGATACCACAGGTCACTAAAGATAGTCTTTCCCTTAGGGAATAACGTAATTCTAGTCCGGGTGAATAAGAATTAAAATTAGTCTTAAAGGTAAAATTGCCCCGAGAGCTGACCTGGCTCTCGGGAATAAAGCGAATTCTTGGGCGTCCGGGGTAATTTTAAAATTCGTTTTAAAGGTAAAATTGCCTCGAGAGCTGACCTGGCTCTCGGGAATAAAGCGAATTCTTGGGCGTCTGGGGTAATTTTAGCCAAGACTCAGAGTAAAATTTTGGTGGAACCAGCGGTAATTTCAACCATGTCTCTTTAAAAAGGAGCAAGCCACCACAGCCGAATAAGAGTTAAAATTAGCTTCAAACTACCAACAGGTGGATAAAAATTAAATTTCGTTTTAAAGGTAAAATGGACTCCGGGGCTGACCTGGCTCTCGGGAATAAAGCAAATTCTTGGCACCTGAGGTAATTTTAGCCATGTCCCTTGAAAAAGCAAGCCACCGCAGCTGAATATGTTAAAATTAGCTTCAAACTACCAACAGGTGGATAAGAATTAAATTTCGTTCTAAAGGTAAATTTTTGGCGCCTTTTAGCCAAGACTCGGGTTCGCAGAGTAAAATTTTGGCGCGCCTGAGGTAATTTCAGCCATGTCCCATTAAAAAGGAGCAAACCATCACAGCCGAATAAGAGTTAAAATTAGCTTCAAACTACCATAGGTGGATAAGAATTAAAATTCGTTTGAAAGGTAAAATGGACTCGGGAGCTGACTTTGCTCTCGGGAATAAAGCGAATTCTTGGCGCCTGAGGTAATTTCAGCCAAGACTCGGGTGCGCAGAGTAAAACTTTGGCGGAGCCTGAGGTTGGACTAGATGACCTCCAAGGTCCCTTCCAACTTTATTATTATTATTATTAATAATAATAATAATATATTAATATTAACTTCAGCCATGTCCCATTAAAAAGGAGCAAACTATCACAGCCGAATAAGAGTTAAAATTAGCTTCAAACTACCATAGGTGGATAAGAATTAAAATTCGTTTGAAAGGTAAAATGGACTCGGGAGCTGACTTTGCTCACGGGAATAAAGCGAATTCTTGGCGCCTGAGGTAATTTCAGCCAAGACTCGGGTGCGCAGAGTAAAACTTTGGCGGAGCCTGAGGTTGGACTAGATGACCTCCAAGGTCCCTTCCAACTTTATTCTTCTTCTTCTTATTATTATTATTATTAATAATAATAATATATTAATATTAATTTCAGCCATGCCCCTTTAAAAAGGAGCAAACCAGCCAAGGCGAATAAGTTAAAATTAGCTTCAGAATAAAGTCAGAGGTAATCTCAGCCACGTCTTTGCAGGCTAAAAGCGCCGCAAGGAAGAAAAGGGGAAAGTTAATGAAAATTACTTCGGGGCCAGGAGCTGATCTGACTCTCGGGAATAAAGGAGGCAACTTTAGCCAGGTGCAGTGAAAAGGGCTAAAGGCAAAATTTAGCTGAAAGGCGAAATTGCTCCAGTTATCTGGAGGGGCCCTTTCTTTCTTGAATACGCGCAACTCTCGGGACCTGAGGAAACGGCGGTCGAGGCTCAAAGCCTTAAAATGGGAGCCGCGACATTTTTTTTTTTTTTTTTTTTTTGGCACTGCCGGAGCTGGGTGGGCGTGGCCTCCGTATGACGCAACCGGCTTGTGGTCACGGTTGCGTCATACGGAGGCCACGCCCACCCCGCTCCGGCAATGCAAAAAACACGTTGCGACGTCACGTGACGTGGCAAGTTTGACACCTCCGCTCTAAAAGAAGCAAACCATGTAGAAGACCACTAATTGCTCGAGAGAACAATGTTACAATTCGCTGTATCTTGCCTTCTTTCACAGTAGGATAAAACACATAAAAGCCCCTTTGACTACTGATAGCTTTTCTAGCCTCTGAACATCCACTGGTCATTTGGTGATGTTGATTTTTTTTTTTTTTAATTTCAAAGGCATGAATCCATGTAGACGAAGAAGAAGACATCAACAGTAAGACAGATGGTTTAATTCACTTCCCAGTATATCATGAAAGTGTGCAGCTGGCAAGTACTGTTTGCAACATGTTAACTACTGCAAAAATCTTTGGGCCTTGCTAAAGTTTACCTTAAGGCTTGCTTTAGCAGTTTTAAAAAAAACATTACAAAGTATCAAGGCTAAAAAGAACCGTCACAAGTTTGACAAACATGCCTAAAAAGTAGCAAAAAAAATTGACTCAAGACCATTTTAGCTATTGGCTGTGGATCTTAGAACCAGACAGCTAACCAGCCTCCTCCAGTGCCTGAGTTGGCTCAGCCAATTTCACTGTATACATGTTATACTTTGATAATAAAGGGTTTCTTATTATTATTTATTAGTAGTACCAGCAGACTTCTTAGAACCAAAAGTAAACCTGATGATGCAATTTAATATGAGGAATACCAATAAAGGAAAATATTTTTGGTTCATGATTGAAATGAGGTGTCCTTGCTGCTCTCTGAGTTTGGCGGTTTTCTTGTAGACCAAGCATGTCCAAACTCGCGACGTCACGTGACGTCATTTGTGCAACGTATCGGGCTGGTTTTGCCCTTGCCGGCAATGGGGTGGACGTGGCTTCCACATGACACGTCTGGCCCGTGGGCCGGCAGTTTGACATCCCTGTTGTAGACATTTCTTACCAAACTAGGGAACATCATCAGTGCTTGAAGGGAGTGCAGTTTACTCCCAATTTAGGTTCTAGTGGCTCAGTGTTGGTGAAAATGGTCTTGGAGGTTCTTTGTTGTGCTATGTGTTGTTAGCTTCTTTGGCAGCTTCTAGATTAGGGTATTGTTTACTTCTTCATTGTTGGTCTGGAAATTTAGCCCTAGCAATGGTTCATAGAACCCAAAGGAAAACTTCAATGGCCCTTTTTAATGTTAGGTGCGGCCATTGAGCCGTAAAAGATGTTATAGTTTTCTAGCTTTGCAGACTGAGCAGACGAAGTGCACTCTTCTGCCGAATATTCTTCGAAAGAGACAACGTTGCTGGGCACGACTGAGGAAGAAACAAAGGAGAAAGAAGAAAAAAGAAGAAAAAGAGAGCAAGAAAATGTCTCCAGCTCAAGCCCTCTTAGTCTTCGGCTGTGATGGCGCCCTCGACACTGAAAGGTACATTGAGTCTTGTATTCTTTAAAGCTTTAGGACAGGGGTTTTCAAACGTGGCCCTTTTATGACTTGTGGACTTCAACTCCCAGAATTCATCAGCCAGCATGCTAGGAGTTGAAGTCCACAAGTCATAAAAGGGCCAGGTTTGGAGACCCCTGCTTTAGGATACGGAGGGAGGTGGATGGTCTTCCACTAATTATGCCTAGGTAAGCAAGGGAGTAAAACCCCAATTCCAACTGAAGTAATGTTGACTTTTTTTATTTCAAAGGCACGAATCCAAAATGACCTGTAGACGAAGAAGAAGACATCAACAGTAAGACAGATGGTTTAATTCACTCTTCGGTGTATCATGAAAGTGATGGGCCTTGCTGAAATTTACCCTAAGGCAGTGGTGATGAACCTATGGCACGTGAGCCCTCTCTATGGGCACGCGCGCCATCGCCCCAGCCCCACCTCCCCCCGCAGCCCCCTCTTCACCATCAGACCCCCGGAGGAGAATCACCCCTGGGCATGGCCCGTGTGTAGCAGCCCAGCCAAGGACATAGCAGCCAGGCAGTGGGGACAAGACTCCGCCCTTGCACCCTGTCGTGTGCAGATGATGCTGTGGGGCGCAGGAGGAAGGTGTGGCTGCCATGGCACTGCAGGGCCGCCTGGGAGATCTGCGACGGGCCATGGAGGCGGTAGGTGGCCCTGCGGGATGGCAGAGTGGGACGGGGAGGCAGGCGGGCGGGAGCGGGGGCAGGGCGCTTTTTGGACACTCTAAAAGATATAAAAGGTTCGCCATCACTGCCCTAAGGCTTGCTTTAGCAGTTTAAAAAAAATGGTCTTTGTTGTTAGCTTCTTTGGCAGTTCCTTGATTAGGACATTGTTTACTTCTTGATTGTTGGTCTGATGTTAATCATAGTGTTAATCTATGCATATCTCAGTATGGATTGCTGGTGAGAAGGTATTGGTTTTTTTTGCAAAGTGGGTACATATTGTTTCTGTCTGTCTATTGATGGCTAATTTGTTAGAGTGACAGGCTCCTAGAAATTTATTAGTGTTTTTGGACATTGCTTGGTCTAGGACAGGGGGAGGCAACCTTGGCTCTTTTATAACTTGTGGACTTCAACTCCCAGAATTCTGGGAGTTGAAGTCCACGAGTTATAAAAGAGCCAAGGTTGCCTACCCTTGGTCTAGGATAGTCAGTTTCCCAACTGGAACTATGGTTAGGTCTTTGAATTTGTTGTGAAATTAAAGAGTTTTCATTATATATTCTGGCTGCTACCTGGTATTATGATTGATATTTGATTTCATACCTTTCTTCCCTAGCATAATTTTAGCCATGGTGA